TTTCATCAGGTTTTATTTTGGCTGTATTTTTGCAACATCAATTTGAACTTCACATATACAAAGTTTAAATTATGCTTAATTTTTGGATTATCTGAGGCTTGTCATGCTTATAAACTTTGTTCAAATAAAAAATAAATCAAATAAACAATGTATACATTCGGTCCTTACTAAATATTCAAGCACTTCCATGTAGAAGTAAAGGAAATTAACAAAAAAAAAATAAAAAAATGAAAAAATAAAAAGTATCACATGATAAAATAAAAATAGTTTTCTTGGTGCATATAAATACATAAATAATTGTTGACTTTCTTCCCATTAACCTAAAAAAATCTCAAGTAGCAACATTCAAAATTTAGTAAAATTAAATTTTCTAATGTTGCCCAATATGTTACTCTGATTGTGATTAACTTTAGAGATTTTGATGGGGAAAAGTGTCTTGAAAAGTCCTACATATGATTGTATGCATTTTACTAATTGGCTGTTTTGTAGAATTTTATGTTTAAATTTTGTTTCTCGTGATTGGTTGTGATCTCTACAAAACACCAGTTCTTGTACGATCACTTAAGTTAAGCAATGTCAAACCTGGATAGTACTTAGATTGGTGACCACTTTGGAATATCAGTTTGGATGTGTGTTTGGTGTAATGGATAATGGATCAGAATAGAAAATTGGTGAGACAAGTTCCAATGCCATTCAGGTTCATTATATTCCCATGTGCACAAATAACCTTAGGAAAAGTATGAATCCACCTCTTCTCCCCACCAGCTATGGATTAATTAATAGGACTTGTGTCAGTAAATCATTATCATCTGTGCAAAATACTTACAATCTAAAAATATTTACTGGCTTTAAATAACCAGCAAAAAGTTGATAAACTGTAAAAAAACAAATAAATTAATCTTTTAACATTCTGCTACCACTTTCTTTTGACATCAATTTTTGTACAAATTAAACACCAAAGTGGATCACAGAGCCTTGATATTTCTCTGACTCCTGATTAGTTAATTAATGCTAATCTCATGCTTTCCACTATATCCACACAGTTAAAATTAATTTACCGCCAAAAATCAGTCTATGTGTTTTGAGCCTATCACGTGATGTACGACATTATAAATACTTACACATTTTAAACTCTTTTTTCTCTTTTGCCTTCTCTCTCACACAAGGTGTAGCTGTGGGGAAATTGTGTTTATCTCTTTAAAGGAAAACACTATGAATACACTATGACACATGCACACATATGTACTTATGAACATTGCACATCTCTAACTAATCTCATTCACTGCTTTCTACTTTGCTATAAGCAATAAAAATTGTCAACTTTTAACAGTGAACTTTGTGGCATCAAACAATTTGCCAAACAAATTCATGCCATTCAAATCTTTGAAGTTTCTAAGTTAGATTTCCTTCACATACATAATCACAAACTTTGAATTCACTGACTCACCAAAAAACTAAACTGCAACAACAAACTTCAATTTTAACATCTATGATTCTTATTGAGACAACAAGAATTCTACTTACAGTTTGCCAAACAAACATTTTATTCAAAAACAACTTTGAACATAACCTAATGCAAACTTACTTCAAGTCAACTTTACAGCCAAAAGATTCTTAATATTTAATGCACTATTTACTCAAAGTTATAAGCTTAAAAGTTTATCTTTTAAACACAAAATTCAACTTTTGATATCAACCAACATTTCATTTACCAATTTTGATTACAACAAACTTTCCAGGAGGAACACAACTTACTTTCTTCAAAAGACTTTACTCATTTGTTGAATCAACTGTATTCATTTAAATTTCCATTTTTTTATCTGTTTCATTAACAAAAAATATATATTCAATATTCAACAGATAAAGGGAGACAACTCTTACCTTAATCTCCAATATCAAACTATAACAGAAATTTACGATGTAAAATATTAATTAATCTGAACTTATTAATTTTTTAAAAATTGTTTTACTGACAGGAACACTGAACAAACTCTCTATCTGTTCTTAAGAACATTCTCATTCTCATGTTGTATATATTTGTTATATAAATGCTTTATTCTTGTTTTTCTAAAAAGGAATATTGTTTCTTTTACATTTTGTCGTTGATGACCTTGTGCCATACCAAAAGTTAAATGTTTGTGGAGAAGTTTATTTTCAGGCAGCCAACACAAATAATACCTTCTGATATATACATATTTTTCCTAATAACTTACAACCTCTGCAACAATTTCTACAAATGTAGACAATATGTGTGAAATTTGTCCCGGCTTTCCCATATGAAAGGGTTGTGGTTAAAAAATTGCAACAGAAATCGAATAAAAACAGCAAGATTAGAGCAGACAAACTCTCTCTTTTAGGTGGACGAATAAAGAAAGACTCAAAACTCCTGCTCGGTGTGTGACAATAAAAGAAGAAAGTTTTTATTTATATATACAAAAAAAAAGGGTAAAGGGATAAAAAGACAATTAAGAAAGAAAGAAAAGGAGAAGAAAAGTTCCTTTAATTTTAAAGTAAGAGAAAATGTTCATGAAAGAAAAAAAGGGCTTGCTCAAAATGTTTCTCTGAGTGTTTAAAAGTTCTTTAAGTGAGTAGAATGTTATTAAGGGTTAGAAACATTCAGTTTTCTTCACAGTTCTTGCAAAGTAGGAAAATGTTGGTAAATACAGGAATTTTGCGGTTGAGTGAGTTTTTAGAGGACTGGGGAGTGAAGATGTAAAGAAAACACGTGCGTTTATATTTCCTGCTTAGAAGGTCCAGCTACAATAGAATGTTGGACTTGGATTAAGTCCAACTGAAGATAAGGAAGACAAACAAACAAGACCGATATATATAAACAAATATATGTATTAAACAAAACATTTACAAAGCACATAGACAGTTAATATTGTGTTTGTGTGTGAATGTTCGTGGGAGTGTGTGAATGTTCGTATTTTGGTGAATGTCCATAAGAGTTTGTATTGTGGTGAATGTTCATACGTACATGTATGATGGTAATGTTCTTTAACTTTGGGATAATTCTCTGGGACTACATTTTGCAGCAAGAATAGAGAAGAAAGAGAGAAAGAGGCAAACTCGTGTTTGCTTTTTATAGATAATGTAATCACATGACAGGCTCACAGCGCCTTGGTGGGAAACTTGACTTAGTCATGCACTGGAAAAATATATTGTGCGTGGGTGGATTGCAATGCCCACTTGTGTGTTTATTGACCAATTAGAAGCTGATATTTCCTGAAAAATATTTACGAAGCTAAGAAGGCTCTTGGGATTCGATTCTCCCAAAAGTGCACAAAATCGACTACATGAAAATATAGCAATTATAAAATTGTCGCATAGCTGCAATTTATAAATTGTCTATTACAAAGTAGTGTTGATTTATTATCCAATGAATGCTTGTTGTTGTTGTATAATTTGAATTTGTGTAAGTATGTATGTATGTGTGTGATGATGATGATCATTGCAAGTTCATAGGTTGATGACAGAAGTCTTGTAGGTGAAAGGAGGCAGCTTTCTGCTGGTCTTTAATAATGGACTGACATTCATTCTCAATAGCCTCTTAGTAGGTAGTTCTTTGTTTAAAACTGGTTCTGAAGTTGACTGGCGTTCTCTATCGCCAACCTCACAGACAAATGGGTGAAGATTCTCCAAATTTATGGCGATTTGGGAGGCTCAGAAGAATCAGGGACTTTTCCCTCCAAAATTGTTATACAAATTTCCTGGCCACTTCATTGGTCAGAAAATATATTCTTATCAAAGAATCAAGGCTTTGGGAGCCGGTTTTGAAAAGCAAGGAAAAAGGTTGGAGTGAACAAGCTGTGAAGTTTCCCCCGGACTTTATGGCACCATGAAAAAAATAATAGTGGTGGAATTTCTTTTTATATTTTCCAGCTCTCTCATTAATCAGAAAATATATTCTTATCTCTGATAAGAATCAAGGCTTTGGGAGCTGGTTTTGAAAGTAAGAAAAAAGGTTGGAGTGAGGATTGGAAAATAGGCTAGAACGTGAACTTATTCGGGGTTCTCAAATTAAATTCCAATAAATATTGCAGTTTATTTATTTTTCATAACTGCAAACAGTAGTTTTGTACTGAAGAGATTAAAAACGAAGATAATACTTTTCCTTTATAATAACATTTTTTTTTTAATTAAATTTTAATCCTGAGTTTAGAAAATTAATATTTTTGCATATCAGTTGTTTCTTCTCTTACCTAAAAGGCAGGAGGATTTCTTTGGTAACAAAGAAAAGAGTGCTGAGCTGCTATGTGGCATCTGTCCTCCTTTATATCAGCGAAAGTTGGATGGTCTCCTTAAAGATGAAGAAGAGACTTACTTGAGGCAATGGAGGTATGGTTTTACAAAAAGGATGCTAAGGATATCATGGACCGAATGTGTGAGCAATGATGAGGTTTTAGACAGGATGCAAACAAGGAGGAAGCTTATAACTGACATCAAGAAGATGCAACTGAAATTTCTGGGACATGTAATGAGAAAGGAAGGCTAGGAGAATTTGATACACACAGGTCGAATAGAGGGAAAGAGAGACAAGGGAAAGTAATCCATGGCATACCTAGCAAGGCAAGTGGATGACATATCATGGCCTGGGGGAAGTAGCAAAGGGACAAGACTTACTGAGCTACAAGGGATAGGAGGAAGTAGAGAGCCATGATCACTTACGTCCTGAAAGGACATGGCACATAAAAAAGAAAGAAAGTGACTGATTGATGAGATTTTTAAAATCTCAAAGAAAAAAAATTACATACCTTTATAAGAAAAAAAATATTTTAGCAAAAAGATTGTTGACATTTACTTCTTCTCTTACTGTTAAGTGGATTTTTTTTAGGCTATTTTGTTGTTTTTTTTTTTTTTTTACTAATTCAACTATTGAACCTAATTGTATCCTTACACGTTGTCTCTTTGAATTATCTCCCTTGCATCAAAACTCTTTCCTGTTTACAGCCTCTAGAGTTAAAGTTGTTCATTTTGATCAAGCACATGTTTTTAAGATGTTTGGGAAAGCCAACAATCGTTTCCAACATAAAAATAAATCGAAGGATAAAAGACCCAAGCAAAAGGACTTTCAAGGAAAAAGGGGCAAAGAAAAGAGAAAAGATTTGCTATTGTCAACGAATAATTTAGAACAAATTGATACTGAGATCGCTTCACTTAAAAAGCGATACGAAGAGGTTCGTTCAACAAATAACAAATTCATTCTTCGGAACTAGTTTTTATTTTTATTTAATATTTTTGTTGTTAGGTAATTGAATTGATTAAATATTGATTAAAATAATTATTTATTCTATTTATCTGTATTTATGGAGTGAATCGAAAATACCTTTCGTTCGTACTAACACGTGGGTGATTTTGGCAGTTTAAACTTTTCTCGTTTTGCGTATGATACGACTTGAATTTATTTTTGTGAATGCACAGGAGGAATATCGTTTTTACTGTTTAAGTTATTTATTACTACCTCCTTCACAAAATTGTAGGTAATTGCAAGGATTATCTTTAGTTTTAAAACCACTCTTTATTTTTTCCCCAAACCAAACAAGCAAGTAACAATTTTCCAAAAAAAATCACTATAAAAATTAAGATTTTATTTCACATAAAATAAAAACATTTTTTTTATTACGTTCATTAAAAAACGCAAAAAGTTATTATTAATTTAAATTTCATAGCGAAATGAATGAATTTCTTATATAATTGCTTAAAAAAGAAAAATTACATTGAATTATCTAAGGAGACCAAAATGTTTCACACACTTTTTTTTAACAATAAAACTAAAAATAAAAGCTTCAAAACTAAAAGAAAGAGATTTTTCATTTTTAAAAATTCATTTTCATTGAATAATATTATTTCGTTTTCTGAGGAGGTACCTACTTTTATGAATAAGATAATTAAGGACACTACTATTGTCTTAAGAAAAAACTTTTTTCGATAAATAATGCTTTTTTTTTTTTTTTTACAATTTTTTTTTTAAAATTAGAATTTCAATTATTTATAAAATTTTTAAATCTTATAAAATTCAGTTTCAATGGTGTTAAAGGTTAGGGAATATTGTTAAGTAAAACTAAAAAAGTTTTACTTTTTATTACAGTGACTAAAAGCGATTATGCTTTTCTCAAAGTAAAATTAATATTCCGTTCAAATGTCTTCAGATGAGTTTTTTTAATATGGATGTTGCTTCCTGGCACTTCTACCTCAGCATAAGATTAGTTTACTTTATATTACAATCTCATTTTCATATTTGTTCATTTCTACATGACAACAAAATTGAGAAAAGCAAGTGAGTAGAAGAGTGTATGAAAGAAAACGAGAAAAATGAAAAGAAAGTAAATAAAAGAAAGGCATAAATTTTTGCTCCCTTGAGAACTATTACTCCTTTGAATTTTAAAGTGGGTGAAGCTTTAATTAATTTGGAAGTGAGATGTACACCTTATGTAGGGAGGTAGGTAAATGCACTATTGATAGATATTATTGTCAATAGCAGAGATTAGTGGTACTTGATATATGTTTGCGCTTTACTTGAAACCAGTTGATATGTTTAGTGACCATTTGGTAACCTTTCACTATATAGTAAATGATCTTGTGTCTTAATAGATATTCTTGATATCAAATATATCGCATGTTAAGTTGCTAATCTACATCATATCTTTGATAATCCAATAATTCTACATTTAAACTGGTGAGAGTGTTATATCTGAAGTAGGTAGTGTCATGGTTATTGACACAGAAAATAGGCAAACCAAGTTCAAAATCAAGCATAGTTTGTTGTGTTCACTTTTCCTTGGGAAAGGCATGAAAACATCTCTTTTTTTTGCCCAGTTAGGAGTAAAATAACAGGATTAACTGGGTTCTATCTTTGGCTGGCAACCAGTTTAAAAGAAGAAAATCTCTGCATTGCAAATTTTAGAGAAGGTAACAGAAAAGCACTCCACTATCTTTCCAAAGAAGACATGGCAATTTAAAGATAACAAAGAAAAGGAATCAGTGGAGAGTAACAAATACTAATTGCTGGGTCATTACTTCTTGATAGTTTGTAGCACAAGACTACTGTAGTAACAAATAACAAGACTAGCTTATTGTCAGGCTATGGTAAGCACCTAAATGTTTTCTATTGAGCTTATTCTCATGCAGAGTCACAAGACCATGGCACTGGGTAATGGCTGAATAGATTATACTCACTATTGAGATGAGCTTCTAACCAATTTTTTATGTAAGGCAACCTTTTGATGGTTTGTATTAATGTAAATGATGTTCAATTAACTTTTGACTAGGAGTTTATTTATCTTAATTTCATTTGCTTTTTATAGCAACTTGTAGATTGTCATACCAAAATTATTAATAAGCAGCATAATTTGAAAATAAAGGCTAAGCTTCTGGTGACACTCCAACTTGCATTCTTTATCCCTAGGAGTTTTCATATCATGACCGCTGCCTTATCAATTATGCTAAGAAAGCTGCTGGCTGTACTCCTTCAAATCTAAGTATATAACTATATTCTATATTTGAATTCCAATCCACACTGCTTAAAAATGATCTTGGAGCTGTAAGAGATAGCAACTGAAATTATGATGAAAGAAATATCAATCAAAATTAATAATACTTAACAAAACTCTAAGAAATTTAAGTAGTATTGCTCTACTGGTTTAAATTTTGAAATGTTTTAGTTAATTTTTCTGTCAGAAGAAACAAGAAAGGAAAATCAATTTATGAAAAAAATCATCACCATCAGTCCTAGATCTAAGTATGGTCATGGAGTTGCTGAGCACCTGACTAGTTCCTTCCATATATCTGGGTTGAATGCTGGAGAGTTATTCATTAATGTATAGTATGTCATGGGGAAGTAGACATGGAGCCCATCTCTTTCCAGGTCAAACTACAGTTGATGTCCTCCAACTTGAAGGCTCACCTTGGTCACTGAAGGCCAATTCCAGAACAAGATTAAAAAAGAAAGCACTTTGATAAAATGTATTAATGCTAAATCCTTTGATCTTCTGCTTATTCAATAAAATTTATTTCCCTTTTCTTTTTTTTTTTTTTTTCAGATTTTACCTGCCAACATTAAGAAGTTTTCAGATTTTCCTTTGTCCCAAAGAACATTAGGAGGTTTGTGGCTAGTTATTTAATTAAAAATGAGAATTAAAAGTAAAAACCTTTTATATACTTAAGAATTTTAACATCTGGTTGTCATTGCGTTCAGTTTTATTTTGTTTCATTAAATGTATTTACAATGAAAAGAAAGCAAAATTTTAATTTAGATTATGATGTTAACTGCGTGATATATTGTTTTTAAAGAACAATAATGTGTCGGGCTGAAATGTTCACTTATTATTTACATAAAGAGTTTAAAACCTAATTGTCTCTATATTATATTTTTTAGGACTTACCAATTCCAAGTATACTGTACCAACAGACATCCAGAGGGAATCAATTGGACTTGCATTAAAAGGTCATGATGTTTTGGCTTCTGCAAAAACAGGATCAGGGAAAACCTTGGCATTTATTATTCCGGTAATTAACATTTAAATTTTTATAACCCTACTTGTTTTCCCTACACCGTCAAAAGAATGACAGTAACTATTTAGTAATTTTGAGATTGTATTGGCTACATTTTTTTGTATGAGAAAACTTATTTATACAATTAACTTTGTTACACATAAAAAAGTTTATTAAATTAAAAGGCTTATGGACATATTACATTGAAACACCAATTCCCTTACAATCACCAAAGTTAAGCAATGTTGAGTCTGGTTAGTACCTAGATGGGTGACTGTTTGGTAATATCAGGTGCTGTAAGCTTGGATGTGCAGATGGTGTAATGAATAATGGCTTGAAATTGGAGATCAGAGGTGCAAATACCCTTGGGAAAGTTATGTGTTCACCTCTTGTCCTCCTAGGTATGGGTTAATTTGTAAGACTTGTATCACTAAATCATTATCATCTCCCCCTCAAAATTCTTAGACTCTAAAAATATTTTCTCACTTTAAATAACCTGCAAGGGGTTTGATAAGCCATAGCAAACAAGTCAATCAGTCAATAAAAGTAATAGTATCCAAAGTAAACTAACCTGAAACAAAAGAATAAAAAGCAATATATTAATAACTCATTTTCACTACTTACTAATGAGATATTCCGTTGTTATAATAACTTTGTTTCTTGGCATTGAATAATGCCTCCTGTTACTATAACAACTAAATATTAATAATTCTGGGAGATTAAGCTGTGTGATCAATTAATATATGAAATTAAATTGTGTTTCAGATCATACAATATATTGATTTTCTATTTATACTGTGTAGGCATACTTTGGGATCCAGTGATGGCATAACAATGGAAATTGATCTTTGTTTTACTGTCACTGTCTAGAAGATAACTCAAGAATAGTCTGATAGGTTTTAAAATTTGTTTCAGATGATCATATAGTGTATGTATAGAAATTAATAAATTTTTCAAATTATAACTTTTTTGCATTGTTTTTTTTTTATGAGTGGAAGTCTACATTTACACTGAACAAATACTGGTACAATATTGATTTTTTTTTTTTTAATGTCTGTCGTGTCAGATTAGGATCTTGATTAATTTTCCAAAATCAAGTAAGTTCCAATAATCTATCTTTAGTCACTGTTTTAGTTTCTTTCAATTTTTTTTGGTAATTTTATCGACTTTTAGCTTTCCTGGTGCTTGTTTTCTGTTTGAAATTACTGTCAACAAATAATTTCAAAATTCCACCCACTTTTTTTTCTATTTTGTATCACTAATTGATGATGAGACACTGCTATACAAGTTCACAACTTATACAAGATTCACTTTTATTTATTTTGAACAATCTTGTCTTACATGACAAAATTGGCATAGAAACTATTGTAAGGGTTAACTGGAAGCAAAATAAGCTATAAACATGCAACTGGAGGATTCTGAGAAATATTAGTGCTTGTCATGTCAATTAGTCATGTGGTCTCATGAAATTCAAATACCATTTTAGAGTTTTGTTCAGATAAAAAAAAAAAAAACAAGTTAAAATTATTAATTTTTGTATGTATAGGTTTCCTGGTTAACAGTCTTAGTTTAAAATACATTATAGACAAATAAAAGGTGGCAAGTGCAGGATTTGTTTTTTTGCAAAGCAAAAACATATGTCCCTTCCCCCTTTTAGTAGAATTGAGCATTTTCCGTTTGTTTATAATGTATATATCTAAAATTTCCTGGTTTATTCTTGTTTTAATTTAAATAATTAAGCAAAACCATAAAAGTGAAAATCTTTTGAATTTTATATCCAAGGAAGAGAGAAATATGCTTTTTGATATTTGCTAAATTTGCTATTGTCCTCATCTTTGTTGTTGTTATCACAATATTTTGGTCAATGTACCTTCCGGCCTTCGTCAGGTGTATGTCGATCTAGGTAACCTACAGGGGATTTTGAACTGAAGCCTTTATTTAATCTACGAGGGTAGATTGTTCTCATTCCACTGCAATAGCTTAGTGGATTAAAGCATTGGTTCATGAATTTGGTGATATAGTAATGGTGTTCAATCTCTAGGCAGAGCAGTGTGTACCTTGACTCAGTGGAAACAGCGAGCAACAACTAAGCAATACTAAAAATAAGAACTAGATCAGACATGAGAAGTGGAATGTAAACAGTCTGTCCCCGTAGATTAATTAAGGGGTTCAGTTTGATTTCCTTGTAGGTTACCTGGTTCAATATATGCCTCATGAAGGTTGGAGAGCACAATAGTGGAAACGTTGTGATAATAACAACAAAGATCAGGACAATGGTCCACATGTAAATTAGAAAGGATACTAGGGTGAAATGAGACCCTTGACATAAGTAAATTGGAAAATTACTTATCAATTACTGTAATATACTCTTAATACAGGCTAGAGTGTCTACCATTCAAAAGTTTGATAAAACCAGTTTGCCATTCTTTTCCATTGTTCTGATTTTGTTTCATTAATAAACCGTGAGGCAGTAATACTATAATTTTTGTCATCAATGAAAAATATCGCTTTTTAACCCATTAATAATATACTTCTACAATTTAACTAATTTCTGAGATTTAACTTTGATTTTTGTTTTTGTTTAGATTCTTGAGTGCCTTTACTGTCAGAAGTGGTCTTCAATTGATGGCCTTGGAGCTCTTGTCATCTCCCCAACAAGAGAACTTGCTTATCAGACTTTTGCAGTTCTTCGACGTGTAGGAAAGCAGCATGACTTCTCTGCAGGATTGGTGGTTGGAGGAATGGTGAGCATTGGATCAGATTTTTAACTGGTTTTCTACTTTGATGAAAGTACTTAGAATTGTCCTGTATATCCATGGCAATTGTAAGATATCAATAATATGCAGTGTAATGCCCATTATATGAAAAGTGTTTTAATGTCAGGAATATACTTTTATCATTGTGGGTAATATAAAGTTTTGTTATTTTTACACATATTTTCTAAATATCAGGTTTTTATTACTTATGATTAAAGAAAACTGACTGAAACATCATCTGACGTTTGAGCTGAGCTAACAGGTAGCAGATATTCACTGTAAACAAATATGTTTTTTTTTTCTATATTTTAAATAAAAAGTACTTAATACTGTTTCAAAATATAACATTGTCACCCCTGGGAGTCTATCCAGTCTTTCTGTTTAGTATTCACTATTGGTATTGATCATTTCGACCCAAGCCTAGCCCTATCTCATGTCATGTTTGATTTTGATCATAAGGCCAGCGAGGGTCAATTGTTGACAGGAATCATTGAACTTGTCCAGACCAGGCAAAGTAAAGTCACAAGGTAAATTCTAAGAAAAAATAATATTTTATGTGACTTATACCGAACTGGTAATACAAATTTTGTTCCCCGTGCAAGATTATAGGTTCTTCAGACAGGCATATCTTGACATGCAAAGTCACTTGACATTTTCCCTCATTTGAATATTTTGTGACACCTTGTTCTTCGTGACTAAGTCTAGGCAAGTTCTCTAAGACACTGATCGAAGTCAGAGCTTTCTTCAATGGCAGGAAGTCATGTGCTCTGTTTTTTATGGGCTCTGGCTCACACCTGGGGAGTAGTGAGGATCTTCTGGTTTTTCCCAATTTTCAGACTAATTAACTAAATTCTAAAAAAGTTCCATTGTTTAGAATTTTTCTCCAATATCCTTAATTTTTCCCAATTTGGAAGTTATCTTGTTCTGCAGGTAGAGGGTACAGGCCTTGTTCCTCCCAGTTACTCCTGCTGCCTTAAAGTCATGTCTCCCACCAGCATTACTGATTGGCGGAGACCACTCTCTCTTCCGTCTACCTGAAATTATTCCTCTGAGCCTTCCTTCAGCTAATACTTCTTCAGAGCCATATGCTGATACTTCTACCCTTGGTGGGAGGTGAGCATTGGATCAGATTTTTAACTGGTTTTCTACTTTGATGAAAGTACTTAGAATTGTCCTGTATATCCATGGCAATTGTAAGATATCAATCTTTCCTTTCTCCCACTTCTTTAGTGTTTCACCCATTGTGATTCCTGGTTGGGTAGAATTAAATCCCTCTTCCCACTTCACTCCTTGAGACAGTCAGCCTCATATCTGGTCTTTATTTGTTTTCATGACATTGTTTTTGTATTTCAATTTTCCATGGATTTATTTTACCTGTTGTGACAAATCCATTGTTCTTTTATTTACCTTTAGATCACATTTCCTTGATAACTGGAATACACTTTCTCAGAATTTGACCAAGTTTGAAATTTACCATATGACCCTTCATTCTCTGCTGCTGAGAAAATATATATTTTCTTTTTTTTAAATCAAAACAGTTTCACCTATGACAAATTTTTCTCAAGGCCTGTGGACAATTTACTACACAGATTTTCCTTTTAAACAATGTCTCTTGCTGATTCAGCTTTGTCAGATTCATTTTTTTCTATTGACAAGTGATAAAAAAAAAAGTTTTCTTTTTCCTTTGTGGGGGGAAAAGAAATCAGATATTCCAGCCCCCTCCTTTTTCTGAATTTACAAAATCTGGTCACATATTTTTGGTATAGCTATCACTTTATCTCTTCAACCCCTAAGATATCACAAAAATTCAGTTAAATATCATTGAACTGACTATCAAATCCTATTTATACATAGTGTAGCAGAAATATTTTCCACATAATGGTAAGACATTAGTGGCAATAGTATCTTCATCTATGTATTGCCTTAGTATTATGTTGGAGGCACTGTGCATCTCAAGATTCTTGATAACATCCAGAGAACGATCTGCAATACAATTGATCCTGACCAGCCATCTCCTCTCCAGTCACATTCTCACTGATGTGATATGGCTTTCCTCTGTCTGCTCCACCAATATTTTCATGGCAATTGCTCTATGTTTTTGAATTATTTTTTTTTTCTCTGGTGCCCAGACTACATGAATTTAAGTGTGCTACTAGGTTGACAACTAGTTCTCACTGTAGACTATTTACATTATTTTGACTATTGTCCTCATTTTTGTTGCCATATTTATTACAATGTTTCGGCCATTGTACGCTCTGTCCTTTTTCAGGTGTTTGGAATGTCGAACTGAACCCTTTATTTTGCTCAGTGGGGTAGACTGTTCCAGTTTCACATGCCATGTCTAATGTATGTCAGTTATCAGTTATCTCCTGCTTAATTCCCTCTCCAAGTTCTCCACTGCCTTAACCAGATATTGAACTCACACTCCACTGTGCCATGTCTCCTTGAGAACATATGGCACAGTGGATAAAGGCATTAGTATTTTTATACTTTCACTGATAACCCCTTCACATAAGGCAGGCAGACTGTTTTCTGATAATTGACATCCATTAGACATGGCATGTGGAACTAGAACCGTCTACCCCAGTGAGTGAAATAAATGGTTCAGTTCAACCACCTGAAGAAGGCCTGAGCGTACAATGGCCGAAACATTGTAATAAATATGGTGACAAAGATGAGGACAATAGTCCGAATAATGTAAATAGTGTACATGATACCTCATCTCAGAAATATAGAGAGATAGTTCTCACTGTTTTAGTGTTGAACTAGCTAGATGCAAATGCTACTTCTACTCTAACAGTTTTTTTCTTGCACTTCTCACCTGTGGCACTCCCTCCTGATTTCTTGCTTCCCTGACAGCTACATTTTTTTTATTTGCCCTTATGAAGCTATTTTCATTAGTAACAAGAATTGCTTGTAAATAGAAGTACAAATATATTGTTTATTTTCTGTTTCTGCTGATTTAGCTCATTTACTTGCAAATTTCTGATATTAAAAAGTGTTGTCGTAAATAGGAAAGGTTGACACACATATAGAAAATAAGTAGTTTATTCTGGGGAATAATATGGTACATGGTTGAGAACACAGACTAATGTAATAAACAGGTAATCATTAACTCCTTTCGCTCAGTAAGAGAGATTGCTGTTTAAACAGTTTTAGACCAATCCATCTTGTGGTAGTGTTCAGCTACTCCATAACAAAAAGCTCATAATGTTGTTTAATTTTGCTTAAGACAATGTTTCCCATTGAAGTCCATATTGCTCCCTAAACAGATGTTAAGAACCTTGTGCGAAATAGCAAAATTAAAGAGGTGCAAATTATATCAGTGAGTGCTCGGGAAAGCAAGTACAATAATTTTATTATTTTCATAGAATTTATACATTATAGCAAGGCTACATTTGAATAAAATAAAGTACATAGTACTTGTCAATATACAGGGTATCCCTTTCAAAATTAACATCATTTTGTAGTCTAATAACATAGCCAATTCTCACTGAAATGATCTCAAATTTTAACAAAATTTGAAAAAAATAACTTATAAAAATAAGTTGATTGTGTGGTCTTATCTCAGTGAGAATCTACCAGGAAGATGGATATTGGGCATGTCAGTAATAATGACAATGTGTTGTTGAAATGGCCACCATGTTCACCTGACTTGACACCTAGGTTATAAAATCTACATCCCTTTGAATCTCTTGTTTGAATTTTGGTAAATAAACCTTATTGTTCAACATGAAGCCTATTTAATTTTGTTTGCCTGGGACATGCAGTTACTCAGCTATTCACTCTTTAAATTATATCAATTTTGGAGGGACATCCTGTACATCTTTTTCTTGTTATGATTTTGTTTTTAGAAAACAGTTACTTTTTTATTTATTTAGCTTGATTCACAGAACATATTTGAATTTTATGAGATGATTAAAAAAAAAGATGAACATATTTACATAAATGTGTTTGTAGAACTTGAATATGAAAATCTGTCTCACTGGGTCTGTAGCTTGGATCAAGTATCTGTTCTATTCCTAAATTCTGTTATGGACAAAGAAACAAAGACAAAATTACATTGGTCATTATAAAGATAAACTAAAGAGGTTATGAACATTGAATAACATTAAATATAGCACAATACTTTCAGAATTAAAAGTGACATTTAAGAATAATTTTAAACTTTAAAATAATTTTTAGTTAAAGGTTCAAAGGAGATAAATTACCTAAGATCAATCCACCTATTTGGACTAGGCACAAAAATTCACCTAGTTGTGCAAGGTTACTGGGAATGGAAGAGAATGAGAAAACTTTAGTGAGGAGAAGCACTAGATTCAGGAAAGCAGGAGATGGTCATTGATGTTGAATTTAAATCTTTAAAATTTGTAGCTGCCAGAGAAGCTAGAAACCAGAAGAGAGTCCCAGACATGAGAAATGAAATTATTAAAATAGAAGTTACAGTTAGCTATTCCAACAGAGAAACAATGATACCTATTAGCTAATCTAGTAATGCACTTCAAGGAAGAAAGCTCCTTAGAACAGTCATGAAGATATTTATAGGAAAGACAGAGGGAAACCATAATATGGTGGTGGGAAAGTGACTGAAGTCAAGTCACCAGGTCAGGACTTGATAACATTACAGACCCTGCTTTAGATTTTGTTAAGAATCTCATGATATATAGCTGGAGCACCAGACCAGATATAGCAGCAATATTCAATACACGGATGTATTAAAGTTTTCCTTGGGTTCAGTTTGTGAACAAAGTTTATAGATAAATCATTTTATTTTGGGCAATGAGTTATATTGCTAGTAATTTAGTTTTGATACAAGGACATTTGTGAGTAAAGTTTTAAAAAAAAAAAAATTATCATTTTCAGGATCTCAAAGTGGAATCGAAAAAAATAAACTATACAAATATAATTATTTGTACGCCAGGGCGCTTTTTACAGCACATGGATGAGACACGGAACTTTACAGCCACAAATTTACAAATTTTAGGTAAGTTGTTTGTTCTTTAAATGTTTACATGTCATGAAATTGAATAACCTGAATATCAGTCAGTCATGTACCATGTGTGATACATGCTTAGGCAATCATGTATCTTTCGATATAGCTGGGAGGAGAAGAAGAATACTCATACCTTTCCCAAGGGTATTAGTACGTAAGTGAATGTAATGGATTCGACTGGAATTTGAAAACCTGAATATACTGTATAATTAAAATGATCAATAAAATGATGTATTTAATTCTATTGAGGCAATAATAAGCTTAATGGTTTTTTGCTTTGTTAAAACAGTCATAGTGGAATCAGTATTAGTTATGAGCAAGATGAAAAAATTAGAGTTGTCATTAATTTACTATTTTATTGTCTTATTAGTCATGACTTAACACTTCTGCTACTGTTGACATATTTATATGATGTGTTTATGATTTATCTGTGATATACAATATATTATTTACTACAGGAGATTAAAACAAAAACATGTTAAAAATCGCTACACAATAGCTTTTGTGTTTCAGCACTAAGCTATACCTCTTCAGGCAATGGTAAATAACTGATGAGTAAATGATTATTTTTAATTTCAAAAGCAAAATACACCTAAAAGAAAAGAAGAGAAAATGAGAAAACACAAGATCAGAATTAAATGAGGTCTGTGGGTTTTCCCTGATTAACCAATCAGGTGTCAGACCTATGCTAATTTCAAAATTAATTAATCAGATTAAGTAAGCATTGTACCAAGGAATCATATGTTCTGATTAACTGCAAGCTTCATTTTAATTCTGATCTTGTGTTTTCTTGTAGCAGTGAAAGTATTAATAGATAACATAAATGTGATATTTATTTATTAATAATTTTATGAATTTATTGTAAATTTGACAAGAAAATTAGAGACAATTCTCCAATAACATGTAGCTCTTCAATTCATGTGACTAGTATGTCTATCCAGACACATTCCCTGACTTTTCATAATTGAGTTGGTGCGGCTGCAGAGAATTTAGTGAGGCCTGTAAAATGTCCTATTATAAAATCTGATGACTAGTAAATTTTTGACTACTATATTTTTCATCTGATCTGAATCTGCGGTTGTTATTGAAATCTTGAGACTCCCCTGAGTGAAGAGTTAGGGTTAAACTTTTCCTGATTTTTGAAGTTGAACTTGTGTACATTTATTTTTGAAAACATACTGAATTTTTCTGTTGAATATGTTTGTTTTTCTTTATAATTTGCTTTCAATTATCTGGTACTCATTGTGTGTGTGTATATATATATATATATACACACACACACACAGGGTGAATCAAAAGTATGGACAGTAAATTTATTTTGAGATTATATACTAATACAATTTTGATAAACAGTTATTACATATACAATTAAATTTTTATTGTTTACAATAATACAAGACAAAAGCACTGAACATTTTATCTATTCAGGTGCTCAAACTGCTGTCCATCACATTTACACAGCTCTGAAGTCTACCTTCCATGCTTTGACAAACAGTTTTGTACAAGGATTTTTGTATATTAATTTCTTGAAATTCATCTCTGATGTAATTTTTCAAATCACCAACACTGCAGCCAATCCATTTCTCAGGATGCTCACAAACTGCTCTTATAGTTATAACACTAGCACAAAGCCTATTCAACCTACTGTCCACCTATTTTTAGTTCACCCTGCATATAATAAGTTTGATGGTATTATTAATAAACACACACACAGTGAATACTTGTAAATGTGTAAACTGATAAGCATAAATACATACTGCTTAAAATAAGAATAGGTTGTCTATCTCAAATATGAGTATCCACTAATAATGGCGTTTAAGAAAAATGTCAGATTAAATATAAATCCATTAATTCTTTAAAATATATATCTCCAATAGGAATCAGATGATTAATATTTAGCCTATTGAAATAAATTTCCTTTTGTTGTTTGCCTTTTTATTTGTAGTTTTGGATGAAGCTGACCGCATCCTTGATTTAGGATTTTCTGAAACCATGAATGCCATCATTGAAAATCTTCCCCCTTCAAGGCAGACTCTTCTTTTTTCAGCCACACAGACAAGGTCAGAAGTTATTTCTCTTATATTCTAATGAAATACTCTTTATTTCAGTGCGATTCTACTTTAACTGGATTGATATACCTATGTATATTTTGTATGTATGTATGTGTGTGTAAGGTATGAATCTTCTCCCTCTGGCTATGGGTAATTAGCAGGAAAGACTGGGTTCTATAACCTTGGATGGCAACTGGTCTAGGAGAAGGACAACTCTTAATTCAAAACCTGCAGAAAGTTGTTTGGGGACCTTGTGGCACCAGGTCTCTGTATTCAACCCTTCAAAAATATAAGTAAAAAGAAAGAACAGTAAGATATATAATCCGGTGTTCTTATTGATATTTTTATTTTTACAAAATAGTGCTCAATGTAAATTTACAGAGCATTAATATTATAAATTAACTGATTTAAAATATGTTTTTTTTCGCTACACAGTAATAACCATGTTTCAAAAATGGAAGCTAAAAGCTTCGAATTTAATTTTGTAATTAAATTAAAAACATTAGTTCCATTTCATCCTCTAGTGAATTTTGGAATAACTTATTTTTTAAATTTACTGAGTTTTAAAGGCACAGAAAAATTCATAATTCACTGTTTCCAAGGATACAGAGAGATCCAATCATTCAGACAAGGGGTGGTAGCATGTTCTTTTTTATTAACTTTTGTTGTATCAGTTATTAGTTACATTTGAAAAATATTTAGGTAGGGTAGGGATGTATTTTTCAACGAATTCTGACATCTGTTAAATGCATGTCTGGGGTTTTTTAAAAATCTTATTGTTAATGGCAAAAAATTCTTACAGCATGTTTTCTATTTGTATACTTAAAGATTTTTTGGGAATGTTTAGGTTAGAATACGTTTATTTAACTACAATTTTCAAATATTTTCACTTTTATTTTTAATAGACTATATTTCTTTTAAAACAAGTAAATGTACTAGAATTACTTACAGTATATAAAATTATTTTTTCATATCAAGAATAAGTATATATATTACCAGGTTACATTTTTAAAAAAATTTTATTGTTAAATATTATTTAAGGAAAATTTTTGACAATGACAACAAAAAATAGCTAATTTATTTCTCTGATTCAGTAAACTTTTATTTTTTACAAACTTAGTAATATATAGTTTCTCATGTATGTACAAAGGACATGGGTCATTAGTGGCCTACATATTCTAGCTTTTCTTATTAATTTCATTTTACTGTAGGTGTTTTATTGGATTCATTTAAGTGCTAGAAGTACTTTGAGAGAGATGTTTAGGTTAGAATACGTTTTATTTAACTATAATTTTAAAAGATGTTTAGGTTAGAATTTGTTTTATTTAACTACAATTTTAAAATATTTTCACTCTTAATTTCAATAGACTATATTTCTTTTCAAAACAAGTTAATGTAATAGAATTACTTACAGTATATAAAATTATTTTTCATATCAAATATAAGTATGTATATAACCAGGCTGCACTTTTTAATTTTATTTTTAAATATTATTTAAGGAAAGTTTTTGACAATGACAGCAAAAAATAGCTATTTCATTTCTCTGATTCAGTAAATTTTTATTTTTTATAAACACACACATATATATATATATATATATAGTAGGCCCACATCTTTTGTAATAAGTTGATTTTCCCCACACATGTCATTCAAATACGCATATATGTTCAAGATCTTTATCAAAGTGCCTATGTCACTGCTTTAGAAGAGGTTATCAGATTCTTTTTGATGTTGATGGCTGAGTGGAATGAGATATCAGTGTTGTGGATTTCTTGGTCAAGCATTTTTGGTAGAATCTTTCAATTCACTTATGGTTAGTGACAGTCAAAATGTTACTTAAATTGAGGAATTCATATTTGGACTAACCGTGAAATACTGATTCATGCAATGGTCAAATAACCGAATGAAAGTACAATTAAAAAAACGGATAGCTGTTATATGGTGAGTGGTATTATTGTAAGAATATACACACACATTGGCCTATGGTGAGTGGTATTATTGTAAGAATATACACACACATTGGCCTATGGTGAGTGGTATTATTGTAAGAATATACACACACATTGGCCTATGGTGAGTGGTATTATTGTAAGAATATACACACACATTGGCCTATTGGAAGTGTGGTTTGCCTAATGGTTAATGACATGGAGAAATGAATTAGTGAATGATTTCAAACTCCATCTGAGACTTTTTCCATTAATTTCCTGGAGATAAGTACTCTACACTTTGCGCTAATACCTGGGGGAGGGGGACTGGCATTTTCCATTAAGGCCTCTGAGACAAGCACTTTGCACTAATGTGTGAGGGATGGACACTTTTTCTCCACCACTGATTGCTGTTCAGTTGTATGCTTACATGTTCCCCAGCCTTTTGAAGATATTATTCTGGGAAACAGCTTTGTTAAAAAAATGTTTTTTCTCATCCTATTCCAGTTTCCAATGTCTTTTCCTTTCTATTTTTTGCTGCATACTTGCTAAAGTTTGTTTTTACAAAAGATTGGATTTTATAAAAAAAAGAAAATATTTGAAATGGAGCTAAAGAACATTCTACTCTTAAAACTCCAATATATAATTGCTATAAGAATTACAATTTATCAGAATATTTGCTAAAAAATATTTGCTACATTATGATTATATTGGAGACAGTGTGCCATAAATTTTTTTTTCTTTAGTATTTTAGAATATATGAATTAGTAAATTATCTAAAGGCTAATATTATTAGTGCATGTAAACACTGTCATTAAGTGATCAAAGACAGGGAAGGAATAAGTTAAAATTTGATTCTTTGTAATCCATTGAACTCTTAGAATAAACTTCCTGAAGCTAAAGGGATACAAGTTCAAATCTTGTCAAGAGCTTTTTTTAATAATTGATCTATGCTGTTTATTAATGGTCATAGAATGATGATTTGTGATGAAGATCAACTGGAATTAAAAGGAAAGAAATACTAGTCAAAAATTAATAGTAATGGACAATACATCATTTCATAAAATATACCATGTTAATATTACTAGTTAAAAGCTATTATGAATATATCTTCTTTCACTTCTTTCCAGATCAGTTAAGGATCTTGCTCGTCTTAGTTTAAATAATGATAACCTTTTTTATGTGTCTGTTGATGAATTTGCTGAACATAGTACGCCATCACAACTCGTTCAGGTAAATAAAAAAAAATTCAGTTCTTTTTATTTCCTTTATTTTTTTTTTTATTACTTTACTAGATTAATCAAAGTTTCTAATTTGGGGATCAGAAATGATTTTTAACTTGTAGATTTCCCACGTATATATTTTAAAACAGCCTGTACAGAATGTGAAGGCTGGCCCTGAATGGCAAACTGCAGTCAGAAGACTCCTTGTATGTTTATATTCTGATAGTCATGGATTGCCTTTGTTTAAGTTTTTGATATAAGAAAAAAGAGTGGAAAACAAGGAGATAACTCCAAGTATTTAAAGAGTTAACTAGCCTCCTGCACCCTGATTTGTCTAAATTATGCAAAAATGAAAATAACACTAACATTTCATTTTAACAGATATATTTACCAAAATTATACAAAAATAACTTGAAATACTAAAGAATAAATTTATTCAATAAAATCACCATTGGCTTCAACCATCGCCTCCAGATGACTTCGGAATCTGCTGCCATAATCCTTGCCTTCAGTCATCTTTGGTGTTACAAGGAGTTTTATTGGTCTCTTGCTCAACTACACCTCACACATAATAATCAAGGAGGTTGCAGACTGGGGAGTTAGGTGTTCAGATGTAAGGGGTGATGTGATTGCAGAAATTGTCTGATGGCCATGACTGGGTTCTTCTGCTGGTGTGGTATGTGCAGAGTTCTGTTGCCAGATATTGGGTTTACCCAGGGCAACACACCTTCCCCAAGGCACTTGATATAGGCCTCAGTGTTGAGTCTGAGGCCCTCATGAACAAATTTGGGTGTTCTTTTCTTATCAGGATCATCAGAGTGAGTTTTCTGATATGCCATGCCTTCATAATTAAAATTAGAATCATCCAACTTTTTGAATCCTCTGCACTGTCCTCAGATTGACAACCAAGCACTCTGAAATGTTTATATTAGAGTTCCGGTATGAACGCCAAGCAGTACAGCATACCATTTTCAAATTTCTGGCTGAGTGAATTGTGTCATGGTGCTCTTTTTCACACAGACAGTACCCAACTGACCCTATTATACTGTGCAGTTGACAAAATCCAAAAATAACTGTGCAAGCAATCTCTTCAGTACAAAGATGTATTGAAAAGTTCTTGGCCCAAGCCACATTTCAAAATCTGATAAAATGTGATTTTTTTTTTTTTTTTTTTTTTTTGAACTGAGACTCATACTGAAACCTTTTCTCTAGCCTTTCATATTGTTATTGATATGTGATGATATTCTGACATGTTTTGGCTTTGCAGAACTATATTATTTGTGAATTAGAAGACAAAATGACTGTCCTGTGGTCCTTCTTGAAAAATCACCTGAAAAAAAAGATTGTTGTATTTCTAACAACCTGTAGTCAGGTAAGTTTTAGGAAAATATATATTAGTTCTGTTCAAAAAACAAAATTCTATCTACAAAATGAATTGCAAAAATTTGAAGAATATACTGGACTCTGTAAGGTTTATCTTTTTTTAAAAAAAAAAAAAAAAACAGCAACTGAGAAATTGTTTAAAAAATATGTTAGTTGAGTTATGCGAATTTGAATTTGTTTACAATATAATATTAGTTTTCACTTACCCATTACATTTTTTTCTATAATTTAAACTGGAAAAATATTTTCTTTATGAATCGGTAAGAATATTTCAATGAATGTCAGTGGTTGTATTCAAAGTAAGACATTGTACTGATTTTACATTATTTTTACAAACTATTTTTCAGTCTCTGAGAAGAGCACTAAAAAAAGCTAACACAGTAAACAAAGTAGGTAAAGATATTTCTAAAGATGACAAAGGAGAACATTTTTATGAGAAACTCCTGAAGGTTGCAATTCAACACCACTTTTCTTTTTTGTCTGTCACTGTCCAATGGCAATAAATATCAAACAAACAGGTTCTGCTTAAAGTCCTTATCATTGTGAGACTTGAACCATCTCCTTTGATTTCTAAACATAAATATGTCAATAAGCCCAAATCCTAATCATGAGAAAGTCTTTATCATTGTGAGACTTGAACCATCTCCTTTGATTTCTAAACATAAATATGTCAATAAGCCCAAATCCTAATCATGAGAAAGTCTTTTATGCAACAAATATTTATCTACATCATTTCTTATGAATGTGTTTTATTCAGCAGTGAATATTATTCACATAGATCAAAATTCCATTAATAATTACATGTCAAGTTATGGACGTTTTAATCTATCCCCAGTTGTAAGAAACATTTTATTAGTTTAAATAACATAGATGTTTAAATTTAATTTTCAGTATTATGTACTAATCTATACAAATAATTGACTTTATTGTTATTGTCTAATTTCTCATTTCAAAAATTCCATCTAAAATTAATCTTAAACTTATTTTGGTCATTATAGTTTATTGCTATTTTGTTAATGTAGAGCATATAAACAAAACCTTAAATGTAATTGAGAAGAATTATATGACTATTTATGAAAGAGTTTTCACATGATCTCAGATTTTATACCTATTATATAAATATGACCTGTATAATTTTTATACCCATTATATAGATATGACCTGTATAATTTTCTCAGACATCTGACAGCTCACCATGTAAATAGATACATCAAATACCTTGAATAATTAATATATTTTTGAATTCAATAATTTGCACTAAATTACCACTTATTACTTTAGATGTGTGCAAAAGTTCCCAGCATGCTATTTTATGGAGAAAAAATGAGATTGAAGATATGTACTGCTGAAATGCTGGAAACTTGCACATACCTAATAATTATTAGTTTAATTTGATGTGAAATACTTTCTTAAATTACATAAAGCTTTTTTTAATGTCTGAAAAGAAAATTTAAATATTATATACTTGGGGGTGATGATATTCTCTGGTCCTATATAAATAAAACATGTTTTTGATATAAAATAATAATATAGATAATAATAAAATTATTTACAAATTTGGATTATATCTATTCTATGATAAAGAGCATATGGTTTTAAGGACCTCAATGTTACAGTTTTGAAGTTCAAACCGTACACATAGATGAATGCTCTTTATATTCATATTCCAATTTAACATATTCCAAGGAAGGTTTTGATAAACAATTTATTCCTGTATTTTTTTATATACAAGTGAAGATATTTCGCCAGTATTTCAGCATTTCCAATTTAAACATGATGTCATTCAATTATTAATTTTAAATAAAGAGCGTCCAAAAATGAAATTGAAAATAAAAAGATTAAAAGAATACACAGAAAATCATTTAATTTAATAAAGGGTTTATGTTTTAGAACTACAACCATTTTCTGTGCTCTCTTCCCTTCAGTCAGTTATGTGCCATACGTGATACATGTTTAGGTGATCATGTATCATTCGATACATGACTGACGAGGCAGATTTTTTCCCCACAGTAGGTTGCCATTTCTTTCTGTGGTAGACCAGTTGCCATCCAAGGCTATAGAACCCGGTCTGTCCTGCTACTTACCCATAGTTGGGAGCAGAAGAGAAGGATTCATACCTTTCCCAAGGGTATTAGCACATAAGTGAATGTAATGGATTCAAATGGAATTCAAACTCTGCTCTCCGATTCCTTAATCCGAGCCGCTATCCATTACTTCACCATCAATATTAAGCTTAAAACTTTTAAAAAATCAAAAATTTTTTTGAATTAAAATGAAGTAAATGTTTACAAGTATCTTTGCTTATACAGTGTGTGGCAGGAATACCTCCCACGTAATGGTAAGACATTAGCTAGCTGAAAATGCCATTGCCACTAATGTCTTACCATTATGTGGAAGGTATTTCTGATGCACTCTATACAGAGAGTACAGAAATAAATGATTAAAACTTTTCCTGAAACGTGTTGGATCAGAAAATATATTGTTTTTAAGGATCTAAATATTGTTTTGGGAATTTAAATCACATACAGATGCACACAAAAGATTTAGAAGAGACTTAACGATCCTTGTTTTTATATGTTTATTTAAATAGTAACAAAGAATTGAATTGTAATGAATATTGTTATAAATTAAAAGTTAAGCAATGTCGATCCTGGTCAGTAGCTAGATGGGTGACTGCTTGGGAATACCAGATGCTGTAAGCATGGATGTGCAGATGGTGTAATAGATAAAGGCTCATGGCTCAGAATTGTTAATCAGAGAGTCAAGTTCATTATATTCATTTATATTCAAATACATTTTGGAAAGGTATGAATTCACCACTTTTTCCCCACCAGCTATGGATTAATTAATAATACTTGTATCACTAAACCATTGTCATCTCCAAAAAATAAAATAAAAAATTTGCTTAGAAAATATTTAGATATTGTCATTAAATAGAGGTTGATATACTACTAAACAAAACCAACAAACCAACCAAATATATTATTAATATTGTTCATCATGAATTTGTATAATACAGGTGTTATTTTGATATAGGCAATACAGGTTATCCCTGTTAGTTTTATATTAGAGAACAATGTAATAATTTTGACTGATGTGTTTTTATCATTATCAGTGAGTTGTCTTACTAGCATATGATTTGATTAAAATGTTAATTAAACATTGATCTTTTATTGATTTCTTTTTTTTTTCCCCAGGTGCGTTATATATTCAAGGCTCTGTGTCACATGAGACCTGGTATTTCTCTTCATGCACTTTATGGTAAAATGAAACAGCATAAAAGAATGGAAGTCTTTCAACAATTCTGTTTTAAGCAGAGTGCTGTGCTTTTTGCCACAGACATTGCTGCCCGAGGACTGGGTATGTAGTTTTTGGTCTTTTACCATTTTCACATAAGTACAAGGTAGCATAAGACTTATCAATCTGGAAAACTGAATTGGTAAATTGAGTTTGAATTTCAGTGGTTTTACTCTTTTGTGCCACCTCAATATATATTAAAAAAATTGATTGATGTAAACAAATATTGAAAGTTAAAATGCTCAAAAGACTTAATTTAAACTAAATTTACAGTTTTAGTGTTTAAGACTTTAAACTGTCTGACATTTTTTTAAATAAATCAAGTTCTTTGATGTAAAAACACTTTGACCACTTCATAATTTAATTCTAAATTATTGGTTTTAGTCTTAACAAATTTACTCCACCTGAGACTAAATCAAAGAAGATCAATTCAGAAATTTCCGAGAATATAAAAAAAAAAAATTTAGAAACAGAGATTGAAAAAGAAAAGCCCTTGGGAATTGTCAAAAGATCTAGATCTGGGGGAATATCTTAAGTTTTAAGTTTTCACTGAAAAGCAAAAATCCCATAAACACCAAAACCCATTGTAAGAAATTCAGTCATCCAGGTTTTTTTCTATTGAAAATCTGAACATACGAATTCCAAACAATAATAAAATAAAAATAAAGAAAATATGGGTAGGACTGTTAAATAAATCGTTTGTATTTACAAATACGTACATGAATTCAAAAGAGTCAAAAAGGTGTAAAAATAGTTTTCAGTTGTGTTAAAGTCTGGGTAGAAAAGAATGGTTGACAAAAGACTTTTAGTGTTAGTGAAGATTCACTGACCATTGGTATTGTTGTTGGAGATGATTCATTTGAAGTTGTCAATACATGTTTCTTTCAGCATGCACTGGGGGGGGATTGAAAAAGCAATGTAGCTTGGAGACAGCTGCATCTCTGCACTTTGAAAGTTGAAATCTGTGGGTCTTTATAAGAAATTTGTCCCGAAAATAGGCTTGAGAAAAATAGTTTTCCCTGGTTGGTCAAATATTTTATGTGGTGATGTTAATTTCTAACCAATAGGCACTTTGATTTAAATGGTGTGTGTTGTATTGTGGAATCTTTTTTGGCATGATTGTAATATTGTCTGTTATTGAGTAGAAAATAAAGTTTGGGCATGTTTTAATATGATATGTCTGTGGGTATCTAACTGTGTTGGAAATAACATTTCTTTGCTATACCATAACTTAATATGGAAATGTGAGATGTAATTTTTTTTTATACTAAGATTCTTGATTTAGTTTAAAAATATGAAGTGGGGGCAAAGTTTATAAACATTAAAATAGCAGCATATTTTAGCCTTCAGAATTTGTTTAGATTCATTGATTTTTTAATATTTATTGAGATGGCTTATAAGTGTAATATGTGAATTTCATTTGAGATTTCTTAATTGATTTCATTTTTGCATTCTTGAGAAAGTCATGGCTCTGTAACTTGTGTTACATTTTTACTTAAGTTGCCAAGAATTGGCATAACTACTCTTTTTATGATGCTTTTCCATTGATACTTAGTTTTATCCACTAAGCTATCTTGTAGCATATGCAAGCTGTAGTTTTAAACTTAATGTCATTCCCTTGTCTAATTAGAGGATGCCATATCGTAAGGAAAACCCTATCAATGCTAGAAACAGCAGTAACAGTAGACTTGAGAAACCCATTTTCTTGAAAAATTGTTTTACTAGAAAGATTTTATAAATTTCGACTGACACCAGCATTGGTAGTTTGGTCAATGAATAATGAATGATTCCTTATATTACCATTATCACTAATATTGTATTCCAATAATTTATTAACTCTAAATAAGCATAATTAGCAATTTTGTATTGTGAAGAACAGTTGTAAAACATTACTTTAAGGCTTCTTTTTCCTTTTTATGAATTTGAACTAGAATAGCAAATCTATTTTTCTTTTTCAAAACCTTTGTTTTCTATTATGATTTGCAGATATTCCTGAAGTTAACTGGGTGATACAGCTTGATTGTCCAGAAGATGCAAACACTTACATCCATAGAGTAGGACGTACGGCCAGGTAAAGTCAACCTCTCTTAAAGATTTACATTTTTTAGAGACTATTTTGAGTTGCATTGATATTTCTTTTGCCTGTAACTCTTTATATGATGCTTTTCACATAATGATATCAAGTCGAGTTAACCAAGTTTGATTTCACTCTTTACTGCCAGCTCTGATGTGAATTTCTTTGGAGATTGTTATATTTCAAAAGCATTATAAGGTATTGTTCTTATTTTATACATTGATTCATTTATACCAGCTTTGATTGTTTTGATCACATTCAATTGGAAATAGTTTTGTTGGAAGCTATACTTCTGATTTAATGGTTTTTTTTTTTTTTTTGTAACAAATATTTAGAAATCAAAAAGTTTACTGAATTAGAATATTTTGATAAAAAGCAATAAGATAGTTTAAGCCTAGAATAGCGATAGTGAAAAAAAACAATAATGGCTTAACTCCAGTAATCTATCTAGTGATAACACAAATCAATGACACCCATTAAAATACATAAAATTACTAGAATTGAACATATTTCAAGGTGAGCAGAATTGTTGCCAAGAAGGTTCTCAATAAAGAACGAGAGTGAAGTAGATGTACAGGTAGGCATGATGGTCAGCAGCTTGGGAAGAAGAATCAGTGAGATATGTTCAAATTGTTACTGAATTACATTTTACTTGATAAAAGTATGCTTGGAAAAAGATGGATGCATATTTGGTTGGCAATGAAGCCTAGGAGAGGGATATTTCTGAATTCAAAACCTGAAGATGGCTGTGTACTACTTCTCTGTTATTAGTTCTCCAAAAAGTCTAGCTGATTCTGCATAAGCTGTCGCCATTATAATCAAATCATATCTGTGAGTTTTCTGGCAGATCACTCCTAAGAACTGAAGTATTAGGCCCTCATATATTGAAACTAACAAGAGAATCCACTAATATATAAATATACACACACATACATACAGGTTTGGTTAAAAAGAGCTGACATGGTCTGTCTGTTTAGTTTTTTATTGTATTTTTACAATTTTTTAATCAGATGCTGAGTATTGTTCTCAAAAATGTGGTTGATTATTTTGCTATTTTTTTTGTTCAAGTACTTTTGACCATTTAAGTCATTTTCAGAAACCAATGTGGTGTCTGTGTGGTAGTTAGAATTCCTTTGTCTACATCCTGGTATTCTTTGGAATGCTGGAAGTTTGAAACAGTTTACAATGACGTCACATGTAATGGTTATTGTGAATGAAGCTACACCCAAAAGAATGCAATATTTTTATTGTATTAATATACATATATATCTGTGCACATTAATTATATCATAAGCACTTGAAGATATCACCTCCTCTTGTGAATGATATTTAATGTGGTCTGTTTATTTTGTATAATAATATCTTATTTATCATCTTTTTTATTATCTTATTGATATTATTTATTTATATTATTCTAGGGTTTTGAGTCTTTCCTTGTATTGGGTGCTATACATTATTTTGGTATTATCCACTAATATTTGTATTACGTCGATAGTTGTTTTTTGGTTCTTTGTGATATGCTAGTAGATATGTGCATGGATTGCATTGAGTTATGCATGCCCAATGTAAGAATTTAATGCTTTTTTTTATTATTAATTTTGATATGCAATCTTCAAAGGGGCATAAAATTCAAAGCAACATTATTTTTTACACAGTGACAATTTTTGAGATCCCATATTCCATGATGTTGGGAGTTTGTATGAATACTTGGTGCCTAAATATACCTTGTTCATTCATATATATATATATATATATATATATATATATATATATATATATATGGACTCTCCCGTTGTATTTGACGGATGAGGCTCAGCAACTGAGTTCCTAGGAACCGACAGCCAGACACCAGCACATATGATTTGATTATAGTGTTGAAGGTTTTGTGCAGAACCAAACACACTTTTTGAAGTGCTGAATACAGAGACCTGTTGCACTATGTGCCACAAGGTCCCAAAACACCCTTCCACAGGTTTTGAATTCAGAGTTGTCCTTCTCCTAGATCAGTTGCCATTCAAGGCTATAGAACCCAGTCTGTCCTGCTAATTACCTATAGCTGGAGGGAGAAGAAGAGGATTCATCTTTCCCAAGGGTATTAGCATGTAAGTGAATGTAATAGATTCCACTAGAATTCGAACTCGCCTCTCCGAGCCCTCAGTCTGAGCCACTACCTATTACTTCATCATTCCTCCTAAATATATATATGTATATGTATTTAAATAAAAAGAAAGAACAGTAAGATATATAATCCGGTGTTCTTATAGATATTTTTATTTTTACAAAATAGTGCTCAATGTAAATTTACAGAGCATTAATATTATAAATTAATTGATTTAAAATATGTTTTTTTTTTCTGCTACACAGTTCTAACCATGTTTCAAAAATGGAAGCTAAAAGCCACGAATTGAATTTTGCAATTAAATTAAAGACTTTAGTTCCATTTCATCCTCAGGCGAATTTTGGAGTAACTTTTAAAATTACTGGGTTTTAAAGACACAGCTAAAATCACGTTTCCATGGTTACAGATAAATTTACTTCAATTAGACAAGGGTTGTCTGGGTTTTCCTTATGTCTGTGTCATTGTATCGGTTATTAGCTACATTTTGGTAAGGGGTAGGGATGTATTTTTCAATGAGAACTGACATCTGTTGAATGCATGTCGTCTGGATTTTTTAAAAAATTTATTGTTAATGGCAAAAAAATTCTTACGGCATTTTTTTTTATTTGTAAATTTAAAGATTTTCAGGGGTGTTCAGATTAGAATACTTTTTAGTTTTTATTTAACTACGATTTGAAATATTCTCATTTTTAATTTTTATTATATTATTTTTTTTTTTTTATGAACAGTTAAATGTATTAGAATCCCTTATATTATGTAGGATTATTTTTACAACAAGTATAAGTATGTATATTAGGGTACTTTTTTTTTTTTTTTAGTAAAATTTATGACAATGACGGCAAAAATAGTTACTTAATTTACTGATTTAGTAAACTTTTATTTTTTATATATATAAACCTAGTAATATATTGTTTCTCATGTAAGTACAAAGGACATGGGTCATTCATAAGCTTACATCTTCTGGCATTTCATATTAATTTTATTTTACTATAGGTGTTTTATTGGATTCTTTTAAGTGCGGGTAGTACTAAGTAAAAGAAGTTTAGGTTAGAATTCATTTTATTTAACTACAATTTTAATTACAACTTTAAAATATTTTCATTGTTATTTTTAATAGACTATATTACTTTATAACAGAAGGAAATGTATTTGAAATTACTTATAGTAAGTAAAATTATTTTTCCATATCAAAGTATATGTATATTACGATTTTTAAACTTTTATATTTAAATATTATTTAAGTAATATTTATGGCACTTACTGGAAAAATAGCTAATTCATTTCTCAGATTTAGTAAACTTTATTTATTAATTAATTATTTATTTTAAATATATATAAACTAAGTAATAAAGTTTCATATGTATGTACAAAGGACATGGGTTGTTCACAGGCCTACATCATCTAGCTTTTCGTTATAATTTCATTTTTCAGTAGGTGTTTTATTGGATTCATTTAAGTGCCGGTAGTACTTTTTGTTAGAGGCGTTTAGGTTAGCATACATTTTATTTAACTGCAATTTTTAAAAAGATGCTTAGGTTAGAATTTGTTTTAACTACAATTTTAAATACAACTTTAAAATATTTTCACTGTTATTCCAATAGACTTTTTTTTTTTTTTTTATAAAGAAAAAACAAGCAAATGTAATATAATTACAGTATATAAAATTATTTTTCATGTTAAATATAAGTATGTATACTACCTGATTGCCCCCACTTTTTTTTTTAATTTTTAAATATTATTTAAGGAAAATTTTTGACAATGATGGCATATAATAGCTATTTCATTTCTCTGATTCAGTAAATTTTTATTTTTTATAAACTTAGTAATATATAGTTTCTCATGTATGCACAAAGGACATGGGTCGTTTAATGACCTACATATTCTAGCTTTTCTTATTAACTTCCATTTTACTGTAGGTGTTTTATTTATATATATATATATATATATATATATATATATATAGTTTCATCAAATAATTTAGACAAGTTACTAGGCTATTTCCTTGTAGCTGGGGTGGGTGGGGAGTGAAGAGATGGATTCATACCTTTCCCAATGGTATTTGCTTGTAAATGAATGTAATGAACTCTATTGGAATTTGGTGCTGGTGTCCATGTCTCCACTGTGCCTCTATATATATAAAAATATGTATATTCTATATATTCTATGATATTAATATTTTTAATATAGGCAAAAATAAATGCCGATAACTGAAATCTAGACATAACTGATTTAAAGCTGGGTTTACAGTCAAAACGTTAGTCTGAGTGAGTTTAATAATCTATGACTTTTGTCTGCATTTTCCTAAAAAAAAAAAAATAGATGCAACAATATAGGTAGTAATGCATACACCAGGTTGCAGATTATGAAAATTCTTTAAAATGTTGATACCACTAGATTTTACAGATTTTATAAACATGCCTATGTATATTTATGTAGTAAATATGGGATGTAACAAATTACTCTGAAAAGCTAGATGATTTTATTGTTAAAATTTAAAATGTGCTTTAGTATTATTTATATATGCCTTCTTTTAATATGTAGATACAAGAAAAATGGAGAATCATTGCTTTTCTTATTGCCATCTGAAGAGGCTGGAATGCTGACAGAATTACAAAAAAAGAAAATACCGATTAAACAAATACAGTAAGTAAAATTGTGTCTCTTTACTCTGACAACTTTGGGAGCAGGCCGTTGCTAGACTATATAAAATGCCATAAATTACAGAAATTATTATAAATTTTAGCAGCTTATTGGTTTTAACTGTTTTCTACTTGTGTGGAAAATAGAGGAATATATTTTCAATATAAGTTGTATAATATAAATCATAGTTTATTTTAATACTTATTATCTATTAATTTTTTTGATGAATCACTATTTACATTATTTGGAATATTGCCCTCATCTTTGTTGCCATATTTATCACAATGTTTCGGATGTTGTATGCTCCAGTCTTCTTCAGGTGGTTGGAATGCCAAACAAAACCCTTTATTTTGCTCGCTGGAGTAGACTGTTTTAGTTCCACATGCCATGTCTAATGGATGTCAGTTATCAGTTATCTCCTATAAATTCCCCTCTCCAAGTTCGCCACTGCTTTAACCAGGTATTGAACTCACACTCTTTGGGTCCTGTCACTGGATCTAATTAATGCCTTTATCCAGTGCCATATGTCCTCAAGTGAGTGAAATAAAGGGTTCAGTTTGACATTCCAACCACCTGAAGAAGGCCGGAGTGTACAACGGCTGAAACGTTGTGATAAATATGGCAACAAAGATGAGTACAATAGTCTGAATAATGTAAATAGTGTACATAATACCTCATCTCAGAAATATAGACAGATTCTGATGAATCATTCAACAATATATTCCCCTTTATTGTTTACAATCTCCTGCCAATGATCCACTAATTTTTCATTGCCTCGACAATGGAAATTATTAGGTTTTGACTTGAAAAAACTCATTAAGCCATGTTTTAAGCTCCACACTGTCATTGAATGAAACACCCTCAAATTGTTAGAAAGCCAGAACATGGAGTGTGTGTAAGTTCAAACTTCCCCTCTTTGAAATAGGAAAACCATTTCAGTACCATTCTGTCAGTAATGAAGTCATCTCTGTACACAGCACAAATGTTTCAAGCAGCTTTATGACCTTGATTAAAAGCAGAGAAAAAGATATCAGACATGCTAATTCTTGTTAGCTTGGCATTTCATCTCAAAGGGGTGTCTAAACTGAAATAAAATTTCAATAATGTAAGACAAGAGTTTCACAGGATGACCAGAGTTACTAAGACACAAAAAATGCTACAAAAGATTATTCTTGGAGATTATTCACAGAACATTGGAAAGAACAAATGAATATATGTAACAACCGAATACATATCTAATTTCATATTAAAATAAACATTGTAAGTGATCGAAATTAAATCTCTTTGATTTGGTTTCAAACATGCAATTAACTTTTTACATATTTGACTTAAATTAATTTATAAGCCACAAAATAAATTTTTTTTAAAATAATTTTCTCATGAAATTTTGCTCAATACCATTTCTATTTGGGGTCAGGACATAATTGTTTGAATTTTTTTTCCTCTTCCTAGTACTTTTCTGTCTCACCAATATATTACCAGCAATACATTATTGAAGAAAAAAAACATTACCTGCAATAAAAATCTTGTCTGCATTAAATGACCCATTGCGGAGTTGATATGCCATCAAACCAAAGTATAAATTCAAGAAATCATTTAATAAGTTAATAAATGAAGAATATTAGTCTCCTGTTTGGAAAATAATGTTTGATTTTAGAACAAAACTTTTTGTGTTCTAATATATTGTTATAATAGTTGCACAAAAATATATTACTTACTAGCAGTAGAGCCTGGCGTTGCCCGGGGATGTAACAGTAAGAGATAGATCAAGTATCGACCATGATAAAGACTGAAAAATAAAATTGACAAAGATTATTGTTTAAGGTTGACGGACACGCATGTCTTAATTAGTTTGATATTAATAAGTATAATTCGATATGAGTTGTCCCCCTTTCATTAATGCCTCTTAATCATGTTTTCAAATTGATTTCGTGCGAAAACAATTGTGTTTTTCCAATTTTTGGCACTGTCAGAACCACTGCAAGGTAATTTTACGTAGTCCTGTGAAGTTTTGTTGAAATCGGTTGAAAAATGTAGGAAATCCAATCCAATATATAAACTTACAGACACACACACAATCTGCGTTTTATAATAAGTAAGATTTCTAAGTATTAAAGTATCCTTTGTTAATTTTTATATCACTCTTTCAGAATTTAACTTAAAACATGATATACCTCTTGAACATGAAAAAAGAAGAGATGCATTTACTTCCTTTGTATGAGTTCAAGTTTGGTCATAATGCTTCTTAAACTGCTGCTGATATTAACAGAGCACGGGGTGATGGATCCACTTTTGATCAGGTAGTATGGTGCAGTGGGGATACAAGCCTTGAAGATAAAGGTGGTAGAGTACGTCAATCTGCAGTTGACAATCAACATCTGAAAACATTAGTCAATCAAAATGCATATTAAAGTGTTGAGAAAATGTCTCAGATAATGGATGTCAGCATTTTAAAAACAATGGACCATCTCAAGAAAATTTGGCAAGGTGATGAAACTCGATAAATGGGTTCCACATGAACTTGGTGAAGGTCAGTGTTTGGCATTTTGAAGTGTATTGGATGCCTCATCTGTGAAATTCAGATAATCTATTTCTTGGTTGAATATTAACTTGTGATCAGAAGTGGATCCTTTATGACGATCATAAACAATCGACTCAATGGCTCAATCCATGACAAAGCATGTAAACACTTTCCAATACGGAAATTGCATCAACAGAACAGTTTGGTGACTGTCTGGTGCTCCACCACTGGCGTTATTCATTACAGCTTTCTAGAATCTAACCAGAGCATCACTGCTGAAGTTTGCTGCCAACAACTGGATGAAATGTACATTCAGTTAAGCAAAATGCAACCAGCACTAATTAATTGATGAGGTTCAATTCTGCTTCATGATAATACTTAGCCACATATTGCTAGGATGAAACTGCAAAGTCACCGACTTGGGATACAAGACTTTTTCCCTCCACCATATTTCCCTGATTTCTTATCCATTTTTTTCAAGCATTGTGACAATTTTTTTTAAGGCAAAAGCCATTCTGTTGCAAAGAAGATGCAGAAACTGCATTCAAAGACTTCTTTGCACCCAAACCATTACAGTTTTATTTATTGTAAAGGCATAAATAAACTTGTAACTCACTGGCAGAAATATGTACATGTCCAGGGTTTCTATTTTAACTGATTAAACACTCTGTTTAAATACATTATTGCAGGAATAAATGTTGATTCTAAAATCAGACATTATTTTCTGAAAAACTTAATATTAAAAAAATCAATCATCTCAATTCCTGTTTGTTTATCAGATATTGATTACATACAAATATGTTTTTCTGTGTTACCTTCCTTTGTTTAGTAAAATTATTTGACAGATTAGATTATTGGAGGAGTCGTATTTTCATATATTGTTTCTACATTTCCTTGTATATTTTCAGAGTTAACCCGAAGATGTTGTGGGATATTCGACCTCGTCTCAAATCCCAATGTGCAGCCGATATAACAATGAAGGAAAATGCTAAAAAGGTGAGTATAATATACTAGCTAATTAGTTTTAATGGACCCCATGTTATTAATTGTAGAAGTAAGAGTACTGCACATGTTTAAGTAAGAATGATAAAATAGTTTGATGACTTGTCAAAGTAGATAAAACCTAATTAGCAAAAGAATTCTGTTAAATTTGTGAATTAGACATATTGCAAGTAATTTGAGGCTTCATGAGTAACAGTGAAAAAGGCTAAGTTGAGTTTAAAACAAGTAATCTTAATATAAAGTTAATGTTGGACATTCCTGTATTGACATCACTTTTCTTTATTATTTTTTCATTGAGGGTTTTTTCAAGGAGGGTGATAATACTATTAAGAGGTAAGGGGTTACTGGGAAAAAACTTTAGAAGGAACTGGAAACCCAATCCTAAACAGGAAACAAGGGATAAACCTCTATTCCTGTTCCAAAACCTGGGGAGGGTTGTGAACTGGACGATAGGCAAACCTAACTACTCCTACTGAGGAAAAAATAAATAAGTAGTAAATAAAATTTCAGAGTTTAGGCAGAGACATTAGAAGTATAGAGTTGAAGTAGACTTCAGAAGGAACTGGAAACCTAATCCTAAACAGGAAACAAAGGATAAACCTCTACTCCTGTTCAAAAGATTAGGGAGGGTTGTGAACTGGATTATATGCAAACCTATTTAATTAGTACAATTCTATCAGTAACTCTTTGTGTTTATTACTAGTCACTGACAATTCCATTTTCCCTATTTCCAATGCATTTCCTTAACAAAATTACTTATAGCATATTTACCTTATAGCTCTATTCTGCCAGTGATATTGTCTTAATTCCTGACCACTGGCAATCCCTCTTTTTCTGATTTTTAATGAATAACATTCAGACTGAGTGCCAAAATTATCAAATTTTTTTCTTGACTGATAAAAATATTTATTTAGTAGAAAATGACTGGAGTGAAGTGGTGAGGAGTAGCTGTAAAGTCAGTGGGCTCTAATAAGAAAAGACATAATCTTGCTTGTATATACCAGGTCCAAATGCAGCTTCAATTAGTTTTTTTTTTTTTTTTTATTTATATAAACATCTACTACTAGAATTTGCTGAGGTACTATGTTTTTAAATATTAGAGCAAATGAAAGTTTTGCTATATTTGTTTAATAAAATCCTACCCATGATATTATAGTTTAGATTGCTAGGTAAAAATATTTTTAGAATGTGCTGGTGATTGCCTTGATTATATTAAAATGTTTTAAATGCTATTATTTTCTTTATAAAAGAGGAATCTTTTGTTTCAAACTTTTATATTTGGTGGATTTTTGAATGAAAGGTGTTGAAGACTAGTTGTCTTTTTTTTTTTTTTTTTTTTTTTTTTTTTTTTTTTTGATCAGTTCTTAAATTTATGACGCTAAAAGTTTGATTCCAATTTCAATCTTTTGTTGGCTAATTTTGTTTTATCTCATCCAGATTTAACGCATAAAATATGGTGTGCAGCAATTTTTATCAATGTAACATAGGATTACGACCATATCATGTGGAAACATCAGTTCTGATGTAATCATCAAAGTTAAGCAATGTAAAGCTTGGGCAGTATCTAGAAGGCAGGGCCAGTGTGTACTACCCCTGAAACCCCCAACAATGGGGGTCAAGTCTGATTGAGGGCCACTGGCGGTGCTTTGTGACCCTCACTATCTTATCAACATTTGCTTTTTTTCTACCTATATTTATATATGTTACAAATTAAACAAAGCACAATTGACGATTTGTATTAAAGGATGAAAATTTTTTGCAGATTTTGACATCATTCTGGGGTCTTTTTCTTTTCTTGTCCAAATCTGTGAATTTGTTCTGATCTTGAAAAAACGCTATATAAAATGCACTATTTTTTATCCATAATATTGAACTATTTAACAAGAAAAATTTCAAGTTGATGTTAAAAATTGCCACAAAACATTGTTGATTTATTTAAGATGGAATGATCTGTTGTAACATGTCTCTAATTTGTATTTAGATACATTGTATTTATTTTCAATTTTTCTTATGAAAATCGTGGCATGGGGCATAACTAAATTCAGGGGTAGCTGCTTAGAAATACCAGGTGCTGTAATCTTGGATGTGTGGGTGGTGTAATGGATAATGACTCAGAATTGGAACTCTGAGAGTCTGGTTTGTTATATTCACTTATACCTTTGGGAAAGGTATGAATCCGCATCTTCTCTCCCCCAGTTATGTGCCAATTAGCAGGACTTGTATCAATAAATCATTATTTCCAAAAAATTCTTACATTCTAAAAAATTTCTGGCTTTAAATTACCACTTAAAAAATTGATAAGCCATAAAAACCAAGTTAAAAAAAAAAGAATCAATGTAAGAAAACTATTACTCCCACATTTCAAGACTTTAAAAGGCTCTTGATATTCTCAAGGTGCTTTCCCCCAAAATTGGGGGAATCTGAACAGATTGTCAAATTGGCATTTCTCTTACCTCTCTGGATATTTTACACATCCCTTGAAATCATGCTACTAGAAGATAAAATATTTTCTATCAATTTCCCCCATTATTGTTGAAGTTAGTTTTGGAGTAGAATCTTGTTTATGACTTCAGTCAGTCAGTTATGTGCTATGCGTGATACAGGCTTAGGTGATCATGTATCTTTCAATACATGACTGACGAGGCAGATTTTTTTTTCCCCTGAAGTAAGTTACCATTTCTTTCTGTGGTAGACCAATTGCCATCCAAGGCTATAGAACCTGGTCTGCCCTGCTATTTACCCATAGCTGGGGGGGGGGGAGAAGAGGATTCATACCTTTCCCAAGGGTATTAGCATGTAAGTGAATGTAATGGATTCGACTGGATGTGAAATAGAGTAATAAAAATTGAACTTGATGGTTTGTTAGTTTTTAGTTATAATCATGTAATGTATTTTTTTTCTATTACATATATAATGACCAGAGTGTTTTTTTTCTTCCTTTATAAGGCTTTTGTTACATATGTACGAGCTGTATTTCTGATGAGTAATAAAAATATATTTGATGTCCAGAAGTTAAACCTTGAGGAATTTGCTGGGTAAGTAAGACTTCTTTTCACTTTCAATACTTTTTCTTAAATTTATTTAGCAATAAAAGGATAGACTTGTTTGCTACATATTATTTATTTACTTGAAATTTGTCGAACTGTTAGAATATTTAACACAATGTTTTGTTTTTTTTTTTAATTTAAAGAACAATAGAATTACCAGTGTGGATTACTATGAAAAAAGATTTCAAGGCTTTTCTTGTTGTCTATTCTAGAATTATGATCTCATGTGACAGATTTAGCTTAACCCAGGCAAATCAGAATTTGAAGAATAACTTTTACTTCTTGGTGCTTGCAGATCTCTTGGTCTTGAAATCACTCCCCGTGTGCGTTTCCTGGAACGAGAACAAGAAAGACTGGCAAACAAAGAGACTTTAATGGCAAAAGAAACAAAAGCTGAAGATTCAAGTGAATCAGATAATGCTTCTATTGATGAAGAAGTGTTGGAAAAATTGCTAAAGCTAAAAAAAAGACAAAGTAAGGCTAAGGATGCTGATAGCTCTGAAGAGTCGGATGGTGAGAGTGATGATGAAATTTTGAAAAAGTTGCAGAAGCTACGAGCAAGAGCAAAAGCGAGGGAAAAGAAAAATGAACAGTGGTCAGGATCTGAAGAAAATGAGGAGATTACAGAGGGAAAAAGTGAAAGGACATATGAGAAAGTTGGTGATGAATCTTTAGATGAGGATTCAGATGAAGAAGACACAGAAGAAGAGAATAGAGAAGAAAAAAAATCGCCTAAAATAACATTAATGGAAGATGATGATGATGGGGGTGATCTGTTAACATTGAAGAAAATAATACTACCTGAGCCTGCAGAGGAACTGGAATCTAAGGTTTCTCTTATTTTTTCTTTGTTTTTTTTTTAGATCTCTCTCTTTATTCTTTATTTCTATTTTTCAAATCTCTTTGTCTTTCTGTCAGCCTGTTTCTCTTTTTTTGTGTCCTTATCTGTTACTCTACTCTCTCTCTATTCATGTCCTTATCTGTTACTCTACTCTCTCTCTATTCATGTCCTTATCTTTTACTCTACTCTCTCTCCATTCATGTCCTTATCATTTACTTTGTCTATCTTGGTGCCTTTATCTGTTATTCTCTCAATACTTCCTCTCCCTCTTTTCTCTCCTAATACTTCTCCCCCTCTCTTTCTGAATAATCTTTCTTTCGCTCTCTATGAATACTCCCTCCCTCTCTCTCAACACTACCTCACACGTTTTCTCTAATACTCCCCCATATGTAAGCTCTCTAAATTGAATTAAGTGATTTTTTAACTTGTTAGTTACCAAGAAATACCAATTAGAAAAATATTGTCACTTGATTGGAAAGAACACAAGCAGTCGGTCAGCTTGCAAATTTTTATTCATTTTATTTTTGCTTTCTAAAATTAAGCTGAATGTGATGCTGCAATCTGTTAAAAAATGTTAACCCTCCAACTAAAGTGTTTCTTATTAGCATGAATAGAAAGTTTTGTTGAATTGTGCCATGTCCCTTTAGGATGTCCTTTGTAGCTTTTGATAACTTTTGTCTTTTTGCCATCTTTCTTAAACCCTATCCCACCATCCATTCACTCAAGTTTGCCAAGTAGGTTGTGTGTTGCTTTCCTCTGTTTCTCTTACCTTCAATCTGTGAGTATCAAATTTTTCAAGCCCTCTTTCCTTGTGTCCCAGAAATTTCAACTGTCTTTTCCTGCATCCTTTTTGTTGCCATTGTCTCTAGAACTTATCATGAGAGAAAACTCATGATAACCTTATTAAACTATAATTGTTATTCTCTTTTGTTTAATTAGTTTTGTTTTAATTTTTAGCCAAAAGAAGCAGTAAAACAATCAAAAAAAGTACTGACAAAAATTGCTTTAGCAAAGAGAGCATTGAAGAAACAAGTCAAAATGAACATCAAAGTGAAATTTGACGAACAAGGGGAGGTAAGCCAGTCATTATACAATTCTTTTCTTCAGTATTGTAACTTTTTCGAATAGCATTGAATCAGTAAGTTTTATTGAATACTTGACATTGAAATAGGGGTTAGCAAGCCTGTCTCTGTGACTTAATAAAGTTACTAATTACCTAAAAGTTGTATTGTAAATTTATACATATATATATATATATATATATATATATATATATATATATATATATATATATATATATATATATATCATCCACAGACAAACTGTTTTGTTGTATCACAGCGCATCAGTGTGGCTATACATCTGATCACTTCAAGCCGAACTGAAACCCAACCGATTTGGCATCAGTTGTCAGATTCTAACCCCGAGGCTATCAGTGCCTGGCAGAGAGAAAAGTGAATTTTTGCATATTTATTTTTTCATAAGCACGCCAGGGACTTGGAGAACTCAATTAGCTGGGAGAGTCTTGCATGTGTGTGAGTGCATATATATATATATATATATATATATATATATATATATATATATATATACACACACATGCATGTTATTTAAAATTTTGTGTGGAAATCATGAATTTTGGGACATTTTTGTTCATATTTAGGTGTCTCAAAATTATCAAATAAAAATGGTTTTGTATACTATATATGATTTATGAAAAAATATGCTAAACTGTTAAAATAAACCAAAATCTTTGACCAAATAATATTTCTAAAATCTACATATTTGATTTCTATAGTTACAATTCATGTGTATATTTAGAGTTTTCTTTTTCGCTGTTTGAAGTAAATACTGTATTGTAGTGATTTGAATGTTTTCAACGTATTTAAGTTCTTCGTCTAGATAGTGGGGGCTACATATTGTAAATACTTTGAGATAAAAACCTATTATTATGCTAGTTTTAGTTTTATTGTCATGATGAGAGTATTGTTAGCAAGGATACACAGTATTGCTTGGGGGAAATAATTTCAAATTTAATACAGAAAAGATGTTTTTAATATATTGTAAAACAACACAACTAAAACAAAATTATTTACACTGTTTGCACATAAAAGTAACTTACTAAAGAAAAATATTCTGTTACACAATTTTTTTTTTAACTATAGATTTCATGCATGACTGTATGTAAATATTCATTTGATCAAAAGTAACTATTGAATTTTAATTTTAAGATGTCATATTCAGATTGTTAGAAAGTATTCATAAAAAAAAAAGTGAAATAAGAATTGATGTTTTAATATGTTCTTTGTTCTTTTTTTAATCTACTCCAGGAAATTCAAGATGCCTACCGAGCTCGTCAGACTATTAAAGACACAACAGATGATTCTGCTGCTGCAGGAATTGATATAGAGGAAGCTAAGAAATTTATGGAAAGTGAAGATAAATTTGACAAAAAGTTGTATCAAGAAAAAATCAAAATGAAACATCAGGTAAGTTAAATTTATTTATTTTTGTTTTGTAAAATATATACAAATTAGCATAAACGATATGAGGTGGGAAAGTTGATAATCACTTGTTATATTCTTTGTAGTGCTTATTCACAACCTAATCACAGTAAAAGCTGGTCTTCTTTTCCAGCAGTATCATTTGGTAAAATGGTACCTTTAATTGATGACCTTTTAATAAAAAGGGGTTACTATCACTATAAAATAACAGAAACACAAAGGAGGAGCTTGAAAAAATTGAATGTTGAGTAAATTTTGATGATGCTTCTTGTTAGATATTAGATTAAATGAATGCTGATGATACTTGTGAAGTAAGAGAGTCTGGGTATGATATGCCTGTCCTTGTCTAGAGAGCATTTTATTGATGTGCAAAAATACTTATAAAATAAATTTTTTATAAAATCAAAATGTCACAAGCATTGAATTAAATAACATTTTCTTTGAGCTTTTCTAAAAGAACATAGATAAATATATGTAGATCGTTTTTTTTTTTTTTTTATTTTTATATTGCTATACCTATTTACATGCTAATTATGTTATGGAAAATTTACATCTACTTATATTGTCTTATGTCATCAGTTTCAATGTGTTTTTTTTTTTTTTTTTTTTTAAATCCTACCCAATTTTTTTTTTAAACAAATACATTGAAACTGATGACATAAGACAATATAAGTAGATGTAAATTTTCCATAGCATAATTAGCATGTGAATAGGTGTAGCAATATAAAAATTAAAAAGTAAAAAAAGATTTACATATCAATGTTCTGTTAGAAAATATAAGCAAAATATTAACTTCATAAATATATCTAGAGGATAGAAAGGATACATTTGTGCCCTTGTCCTCTACACAAAAGAATTTGTAATAACCCATTATTGATGCAATAAAGTAATATTAGTAATTAAAAGAGGGATTTAATATTTTAACCATTACATTTTTAAATTTGTTTTAGTAATTTTTGACACTTGATTTGTATGTTGTTCATTAAAAATCGGGATTTTCAGTGATCAGGAATTAAAACAAGTGTTACTGATAAGGGCTATTATGTATAATCGTATAAAATATTTGCTATGAAACTGTTATAAATAGCTTGCCTAAAGAAATGCATTTGATAAGATTTATTTAAGGAAATGCATTGAATCTGTTTCTGTATAGAAATGCATTGCAAGTACTTTGTGATGGAAATGATTTACAATGCAAATGGACCAAACTTTGTTAGGATAAAAATATTTTCTCAGAAACTGTTTAGATTGCTGATAAATCATTGAGATCTCAAGAGGATTTCTTAGAATGAATTTTAAAACTTGCTTTCTTTGCACACTTTAACTTTAAAGTCCTTTAAAATATTTCCTTCTTTTGATGAAAATTTGCTAAAAGTATTTAAAATGAATTTTAAACAACACTTTTTGTCAATAAAAAGAGACATTTTAAAGGACTTAAGGAAAGAAGGGTGACAATTTGGGAAAAAGTGTTTAAAATTCATTGAGATGTTCAAATATGTTCTAAAGATATATACTTAGCAAAATTCAGGAGAAAACTTGACAAGTAGAGAGACTTTTATAAAGAAAGCAAACTGAATGAAATATACTAAATTATAAAGAGAGAGAAAAGTAATTATATTTTTACATTTTATGATTCACTTCTTTCTTTCTTATTTTTCACAGGAGAAACGTTTAAAGATGAAAGAAAAGAAACGATTGGAAAGACAAGGAGAAGAGGTGAGTTTTTTTTTCTTTAGCAATTCAAATAAGTATTTTCCCTTCAGGACATTTAGGTAGGAAAAGAAGAAAAACTTTGAGATCAATGGTTAAGATGAAGACTACCTACAAAGTATCCTGACATTTTAATATTAACAGAATAAATTGAGATAAACTATTTAATGGTGCTTTTTCTTCATCAAATTATTCCACACCTTGGTACCTCACTCACATCCCAGCATTTCTTGTGCTTTTCAAAATATTCTACAAAGTCCTTTTTTGGGATTACCATCAGTTGCTTCATTATGTTTTCTTTAATCTTGTTTTTTTTTTTCACTGATGTTCTCCCAATACAAAGCCCAAGGGTCACTTAAAGGGTTACCATCAGCATAGGAAAGGACAAGTGTCAAGAGTACAGAGAAAAGTTTAGAAGGGACCATGCTAACTATGTGGTTCTACCAAGGATTGAATTCACCATTCTTAGCTAACAAATTCCTGAAGATATTAGGCTCCCACTCATCAGCTTAATGGATGTGTTCTAAGCAGTGACAGTAGCTTGTCTTCCTTCCTGCCAAAATGGATTTAACCTTTAGGCATTAAAGTTTATTGAAATTTCTCCTTAGAGTCAGATTTTCTATTGTTTAAAGTGAAGTGCTGTCACTCAGTTTATTGATCAAGATCCTGTTTTAATAACTTAATCCTAAACAGCTTGTCTGTGGTGCTTCAACAGCGATTTTAGTTTTGACAAAAGCTAGAAATTGCATTGCTGGCAGACAAATCTGGAGTGCAGCAATTCCTAGACAATTTGATGTTTTATTTCAAAAATAAAATGAAAACATCCCTTCATGATATGGGAAGAATCTACTTGGTCTGTGAATGTGTTGGTTTTACAGCAGACAAGCTCATTAAACAATAGTATCATATTTGTTCATGTATGTGCAGTAAGCTCGTCTCCAATTGGATGCCCAGTAATATCAAGGCTGTACAACTGGTTTGAAAGAGATTCTAAATGGATGGATACATTCTGGACAGACTTTATATTCTATTAAATTGGGACAGGTGGGGAGATTATCTTCTCACACACACATGCACAACATTGAACTATATTTGTATTATAATGTATTAGACATTATCAATAAGCTAATATTTATGTCCCTCTGGTGGCCATTTCTTATACAACATATGTAAACAATATATTTTTTTTTTTTTTTTTTTTTAAGTTTTGATTTTCTAGTGACCAGAAAAAAGTAATTAAAAAAAAGTTTATAATTTTGGTTTCTGTCAAAAGAAATTCTGATTAGCTAACCTGAGAGATAGTTTATTAAACTTACATTGAAAATCAAGTCCTTACGAAAAACTTTTGAAATTTTCAAAAAGCTAAGAGACTAAAAGCAGGTCTCACTGGTAACCATAAAAATCTGATGGCACAGACAAAAAAGATGTTTGGTGAATTGTATATAATGGAATTAAAATAGCTAAATTGTTTTTAAAAGTTTGAAATTTTTTCAGCTTCCTGGAATCACATTACAGTTTTGTGGTGAAGAGAAACATTTTCTATCTTTGGAACCCAAGTGAAATCTGTTTACTGCTTATGTCTGTGCATTCAAACTTATGTCACCAGTAGGTGGTAAGCCAACATAGCGGAGCTGGTCAAGAAGTGATCCCTTAGTTACTTTTCTAATTACATTTTTAAAATATTATTATTAAGCTATAATCTATAGTGTCTAGAAGCCCAGGAGAAAGAATTTATGGAATGAATAGGTGTGGCTGGCCAGGAAACGGGTGTGAGATCATGATGTCATAGAATTGTATATAAAAAGAGGTGGATGGGTGTGGTTCTTCAGTGTCTCAGTCCTGATATCATTACACCATATATAAACAGATGCATGATGGTGGAATAATTTTTGATACTTGTGTGGGAGTTATTGGCATTTTCAGTCACTTGCTCACTGCCACACCCATTTAAGATTGTAACATCTAGTAGGGTGTGTACCTAACAAGTTTTGAATCTTGTTTGACTGTGGTTTTTGGTTTGTTTCTGTTGTGGTAAACCCTCCTACAGTAGAATGAACTCTTCCTCCTCTCATGCATGAGTTGGTTGTGGAGTGGAGATGCAGTGTTAACCTACCGTTCGGATGTGCACCTCTATCTGCTTATTACTAACACTCTTGCTTTGTATATATCTGTTATTTCAATACACTTGTTCAACCTACCTTCGTCTTCCATGTCTTTCTTTCTTGCCCCTAAAAAGGCCATAACAGTTTCACTGAAAATTGGTGTGAATTCACTTGTCAGAAACACCAGAGTTTTTTTCATCAGTTAAAATGAAAAAAAATGCATTAATTTTTGTTAGAATAAGAATTAAGTTTATTACTATTTTTTAATAAAATGTATCAAAATTTGTTTTAGTTAAGGCTTTTACATTTATAAAAATACAATTTTTCATGTGTATGAATATTTATTTCCCCCCACTGTATATAGCCTGTTAAATGGTGGAAATACATATATTTTCAGTTTTCATTGAAATTTAGGCATATTGAGATCCTCACAGTAATTAGTATTGTTGAAGTTATCACTAACATTTTTTGTCAGGATTTACAAACTCTATGTTCAATTTCATAAACCAATTGATGAAATTTGAATAAGCTGATTTGTTTGGAAAAATTCTTTGACAAAAACCCTACTTCAGTTTAATAATTTCTTTAATTTTATTTTTTAGGGCTTCAAGGTAAACAATATTTTTTAAGAAAATTTCTTTTTTCCTTTTTAACAGTGAAGAATAAATTCTTAGGATTTCTTACTCTTGAGCATGTAACATACAACTGGTCATGCGTAAATATTTCTTTCTGGAGCTAAATTCCAACTTTTTGAAGCATTTGGCATTGTGATTTGTTTATAGTTCTCACAAACGCAGGGTGAACTGGAAACTGGATTCTTGTCCATTTGAAAGGATATTCGGATGGTTTAGGAAAAAACTTTATTCTTGGGATTAATACCACCTATCCTGTTTCAAACATGGTATGTTGTAGTAGTCTGTTACCAAATTTAGTTTTGATTGGTCAATATATGACTATTTTAGAGGTTGCGACAGATGTCACAGAATTTTATATATAGATAGATTTAAAATTTCATTGATCTGTGTCTTAATTAGCACTTTTCTTAATGTGTTAGCTTAATGCTTTCACTGCTAAAAGTCACCATTTACAAATTTCATGCACCAATAAAGTTTTAAACAAGGTTGTCATCTTGTTACACTTCTCTTTTCTTCTCATAATCATCTGTCCTCTTTCAAAAAGCTCCTCTGGACACACATAGAAAACAGAGATGTAATAGAATTTCTCTTTGGGAAAGAGAAAATGTTACAAACATTCACAGGGAGTTAGTTAAAGTTGCACTTGATATAAGCCGAGTAAAGCGATGGCTCAGTAAAGATGATAGCAATCTTAGAGAGAAAGAAGAAACTAACATTTGAAACTGGTCCTGCAGTGATAGGTCAGCTGCTACTATGAATGATAATAAAGCCAAACGGGTTGATGCTCTTATTATAGTTGAGAGAAGGATCACTTTTGAAAAACTGTGGAAACCTTTATGTAAACCATTGTAGTGCATGCAATTTAGTGCTATCTCTTGGTTACTCAAAGGTTCATGAGGTGGAATTCCATGAAAATCTAATATCAAATTTGTTGTAATTAAAGAACAAACATTACTTTTTGACTGACTCTCGTAGTTGTAATATCATTCAAATTTCTTAGATGAAGCCTTGCCAATGAATAGTATTTTTTTTTTTCATTATTTATTTATATCAGTTGCTTTTTATTGCAGCTCTCAGATTACCATTATTTGATCTCCAAATGAGAATGTGAGAATTGCAACAAAAAAGCATAAAAAAAAAATCAAAAAGCAATCAACCAATTTAGTTGTTTTGAGTTAATGAAGTTTTTTTTTATTATAACATTTCATTCTTAGTTTTTTAATGTGTTTCTGCATGTTTTTATTGCTGATCTATTTTTATCTCTAAAATTAAATTGCTGGAATTTAAAACAAATTGAACTTTGACCCAATTGATTGATAACTCTTTTCTATTAGTTTATTTATCAAAGCTGTTATGATAACACAGGCTTCTCATACCTAATCTTGTTTCTATTGCAGTCATAATACCCTGAAGTATTACTTATCGTCATAAATTTCCAGTTTAATAGCTGAAGGTTAATGACAAAGAAACTAGATAAAAATATTAAAAACAAATGTATAATAATAAAAATATTTTCTCAGAATCTGAAAAAGTAACATAATCTTTGGTCACTAATAGGTAAATACTAATATCGTTAGGTAGTCAGAAAAAGTTGGAGGGAAAAGATAGGGTTTTAAGCACTAATCCTTCAGCTTCTATGTTATTCAAACTTTAGTAGCTTAATTGTAAAGTTTTCCATGACCGACAAGCTCCCAAAATATAGGGTGTTAATTTGAGTTCTGTTTGCTGAGAATCTTTTGGTAAAAGGATTTATATATTAAGAGCTGAGAGGAAGTTATCAATCTATATATTTTTTTTAACCATTTTTTTAAAAGTAAATTTTTTGTGCTGTCAACTGTGGTAAGTTTTTATTAGTTATTATCTTGAGTAGTTAAAATCCTTATTAACTACAGGAAGGAAAGAAAGCCATATCCTTTGGCCAAATTTTGTCAAAGTGTATATAGTTTCAGAGTTGATTAAAAAAGTACATAAGTAGTTTCTGTAAATTATGTTGTAAGAAGTCTTTACAGATTACAAATTGTTAAAGAAAATTAAAATTTTCACTGATTTTTTTTTTTTTTTTAAACAGAATGCTCCAGTGGCTGTTCTTGGTTCTGGTAAAGATGAAGATGAGGTTTCTGAAGAACAACAAAATAGCAGCAGTAGTGATGATGATGAAAAAGACCAAAGTTTTGACAGTGCTGATTATGATGATGATGGTGACAGGGAAGATGACATGAATGATGAGGAAGATGATGATGATTATAGCAGTGATGAGTATGTAGAATATTTCTTTCATTTCATTAATTTATCTGACAGATGAAATCAATACTGAAATATCTATACGTACCTACATATATATATATATATATATATATATATATATATATATATAGAGAGAGAGAGAGAGAGAGAGATGTAGGTTAAATGTTTACAAAGAGGAGAAAAGAAAGGAATGGCAAAAATTAGTCATATTGTAGGAAAGCCAGATTAAGCAAAGCAAATTGCAATCATCAAGACTGACCACAGATTGGGGGGTCATAGACTCATTGTAAACTCTACAATCCTTTCATTAGCTGCATAGTGTGTGGGTTGCCTGGGCTATATACAATTTTTGAATTCAGAGTTGTCCTTCTCCTAGACTGGTTGCCACCCAAGATTATAGGACTCAGTCTGCCCATAACTGAGGGTGGGAAGAAGAGATAGATTCATACTTTTCCCCAAGGGTATTTGCACACAAGTGAATCTAATGGATTTGACTGGAATTTGAACTCTGCTCTCTGGTTCCTCAATCCAAGCCACTATCCATTAGTCCACCGTGCCTCCAAATTGCAAAAGATAAAATTTTTTTTTTTTTTTTGATTGGTAGAATTTTAAAGATCACTTAATTACTGTCTATAATTTTAGAAGTGTCATTAACATTCCAAATTTTTAAGACATTTTTATGTTTATACATTCTTTTTATAGATACAAATACTTAAGTAAATGCTCTGTTTATAATAAACAGTATTAAACAATGTTTACCGGCCTGAATGTCCGAGAAATTTTCACAGAAAATATTCGTCCTCTGACAGATATGAATGTATGCGAGAGATTCATGGAAGATTGAAGTTTAAATACAGTAAATTCGACCTTGCTAACCGAACGCGCCTCTGTGGCCAAATTGGTAAAGGCACGTTAAGCTAAATGACGGTTCCGTATAGGATACAGGTTCAAATACTCGTCCCAGAAATTCAGACAGAAATTGTTCTAACAGGAATTTATATATCATATTCTCTCATGTATAAAAATAAAAGAAATTTTTTTTCCCTAATGCTTTCCATTCTTCCTCTCTAATTTAACAATAGTTTGATATCTGAGAAGGGGGGGCAAAAAAAAAAGATTCACTTGATAAAATAGTTTTATCTTCATTACTTGATTGATCTTATGATTGGACTATGGCTTTCTCTCTCTGTCCAATTTAATGATTGCTGACTAACTACTAGGAATTATTTTACAAAAATGAAACTGGCTTTCTTATCCAAATCTTCAGATATGATATCACTTAAAGCTAACCCATCCTAACCTTATGTTTGTTCTCTAAGTATCTTGTTTTTTAGGGGGTTTTTTTGTGCTAAGCAACCAATGACTGGTTTCATGTTTGTATCTGATAACTGAATTAAAATTTTTAAAATGACGGAATACTTTTTTTTTCTTTGTTTACAGTTCTGAACCAGTGCCAAAACGTAAACGGTTAAATAGAGCTTCCCAAGAAGATTCTTTGAGTGATAGCAATGAAGTGGAAGAAAGTACAGAAATGTCACTTCAAGACAAGGAAGAACTTGTACTGAAAATGCTTCAGTCTTCCAGGAAATGAAGCTCAAATAGTAGCATAAAGAAAATGGTTAATTCCCTTTTTAGTGCATGGTGAATCCTTAATATTTTTTTTTCTATTAAAGTTATCGTATAACATTCTTCAGAATTCTGGAAGGCAAATATAAAATAACTTATTGTGTAACACTACATGGAAGCTCTCATTGTAAAATATATCATTCTTACCATTTTTTTTTTTTAAATATTTTACTACTACAACAGCAGGTTGCAACTGAGCTAAGTAAAACTGAAAATAAAGTTTATTTTACTAAAATCTTTGTTGTAATTAGTTATGTGAATGATCTATTTGCTTGGGATTTGCATAAACCTCTTTAAAATTATAAACTTGTTTGCCACTGTAAGTTTAAAAAAAGAAGATACCAAAAGGTTTATTTAAATGCTTTGCAGTATAGTAATAATCAAATATTGACACCAGACAAGTTACATTATTTTTCAAGGCATGTCTAGAAGGTTCTAAAATCACTAACTGCACAAAAGTTTAATACCCTTTTTTTTTTTTTTAGTAGTTATCTTAATTTACAATTTGACTAATATCCTCATCTTTATTGCTATTATTGTAAAGTTCATGCAGCTTTCTGTTGAAATTTCAACCTGGACCATTTACCCAATCTCCAGGAACAGATTGTTTTCATTCTACTGTTCATGTCTAGTTCTCTTTCTTAGTACTGATCCATTTTCTACAAAAGCTACAGTCTGAATCCGGACAATGACCAAAATTGAATGTGAATTTGGTAGCATATTGATTGTGAGTTCAATCTCTGGACTGAGTAGTAGTACAAACTTGGAATTGAACTAACAAGCAGTAGTCAAGAGAACAAAATGAGATAAAGCTATCCCCCATAAAATAAATAAAAGAATGTTCAGTTCAAAATTCACTGAAGTTTATCTGACATCTGAAGAAGGCTATACAGGTTGATTGAAAAGTAACTCCCTATTTTATGTATGATGGACTCTCCCATCTTGTAAAATTATAGTTAGATGGAAGAGTCCATCATTCATAAAAATAGGGAGTTACTTTTCAATCATCCTGTAGTGTTGTGACAATAACAAAGGTGAAGACATTAATCTAAAAGTAAATCATTTTTTTATGCCTTTGTGTAAATAAACAGCTCCTGTGAAATTAGTAAGAACTGAGTTTGAGTAATTTTGTCTCTGCAGATGTTGCTCCCTTACACATGGAATTATAGTTTTTGCACTCTCAAAATCCACAACACATTCACTTACTGCTATTGGTTTAGTAAATTTAAACAAGTCATTGATTGCTGTCAAGTGGTATCTGCAAATTATGCACACAAAAAGCTAAGACAATTGCATTACTGTTTTTATAGAAAGAAACACTTCAATAAGAACCAGAAAAAAAACTGCAAAATTCATTTTATTTATACATGGTACAAATTTTGAATCTTTATGCTATGGGGGTGAAATCAGTGTGACCTAATTGTATTTTACTCTTGTATGGTTTATTTCATTCAAAGCAAAATAATTTTTTAAAATTGCCAACACTATAAATTGTTATTCTCTCTTATCACTCATTTGTCCAAATTGATCAATTTTACTGTTTTAAGAGAATCATGAAAAGGAAAGTGATATTATGGTTAAGGTTTGTTTTTGATTCTCTATTGTCCAAAATAACATTTTTATTTGATTCAGTTCCATTAAAATCAATATTTTGTATAAGTTTGCCTAAAAGTAGTTCAAGATTTTGATTTTTTCATACCTGTAATATTTTAATTTTAAAAATAATGAACATCCTATGGGTTTATAGGTTTCATTGGCAGATTAAAAGAAAGTCCTGAAAATATTTAGGTAAATAATTTTATGTATAATTTTTACTTTTAGTGATAAGTGTCCAAAATTTCAGATGTTTTTATTTACATATATTCAACTTCAAAACCTCAAAAAGTCAAAATAACATCTAATCCATATATTTGTTGCTTAACTTTCAAAATGGCTCCAGAAAAAGTCTTAACTCTTGAGCTGATCTGATCTTTTGCACAAAGAATTTTTATTAAGATTTATCTCCTATAAGGGATTTGCAGACGCTTAATGTAAGAATTTATTAGAAGGCAGAGGTAGTAGTATTTTTTATGAGTTCACAAGATTTTTTTTTTTAGGCTGGGCAAAAGTTTTCCAACTGTATTATGTACAAAAAATTGGTATTAACATGATCTCCAGGAAGTAAATATCCCATAAAGATGGAAATGGTTAAAATTGAAAGAAATGAGTTTGTTCATTTTAAACTGCTTAAGTTGATATTTTAGTAAAAAAAAAAAAAAAATACAGTAAATTCTTTTGTGTTCAAAATTGATGGCTGATGAAATGAATGTGTTAATCCTTAAGCTGTTGACAATATAAAAGATTTCTATGTAAATCAACTGAAAGCTAAAATGTTACATAAGCGTTGTCATGGCAACTTTGATGGTGAATTGCTTTAAATTAAAAAGTTTTTTTTTTTTTTTTTTACAGGAGTCAGGATAATTCAAATTTCTAAAGATCTTGCAAATTGTATAAAATATATATTTTTATAAAAAAATAAACAAATTTTTTTATACTTTTTTTGTTAAGATAATTTATTTATGATTGTTTTTTTTGTGTGTGTGTGTTTTATATAAAAAGTGGCAATCTTATTTTTCCTCAGCTCATCTGACAGTTTTGTCTGCAATAAAATAAGTACATCTGCAAGAGGAAGACTGTCTCATCCAATTGTATTTCACATTGATCTAACCTGAAAAGAGAGAGAGAGAAAAAAATATGAATGAATTACAGTTGTCAATATTCAATCTGATTTTGGCTAATACAGCAAATTACATTTTGTGATATGAAACTGGGTAAATAAATAAACATGGTGGCATATTTCATTCTAAGAAGGAATTACTTCAGATAAAATAACAATTATATATGTAATCAATAATATATATATATATATATATATATATATATATACAAGAGAACTATAGCAAATCGGTTATAAGATATTAAATACAGAGATATTTCAATATTCACTGTATCTAAATTTTGAACTTAGTCTTGTTTAGCTTTTTATCACTTATTTTTATTGTTATAATTATCCCACATTTTATTAATATTAATTTTTTGAAGAAAGAAGATATTTCATTGTCGAAGATTCTGAAATTAATGAACTTTCAATACATTTTTGCCTTAGTAAATTTCTTTCTCTTTTAATCAAAACCATTAAAACCTTTAAGTTGAAATTATGGTCAGACCTATTACCACTAAAGAATAGAGTATTATTTTGTAAAAAAAAAAAATCCCTTTTATGTTCATATAATTCATCATTTAAATTTCTAGATTTCACGGGACATTTTTCTTTTAACAATCAGTTTTGTATATTCTTACTATTTTGTTTTGTGTAGATTTAAATCTATTGTTTAAGTAAATTTTATATTAAGATTCGGTAAACTGTTTTCACTTGGGTGAATTAAGTTTACTTATATATCGGGTGTTAAAATTTAAATGTTGAGCATTTCAGTATTTTGATATAAATTGAATGCAACATTTATTGTATTTCTCCACCAACCATCTTTTTTCCAACCTTTTAGGACTGATTTGATTAACAAGTTTGTTTTCAGAATCAAATGCATCACTGAAACTGAATGCTTTATTTAATCTACAAGACTAAACTGTTCAATGCTCAACCCAGAATTGAATTCAATGTTCAGTTCAGAATTCCCTGTAGATTACCTGGATTTATATACACCTGATGAAGGCCAGAGAGCACAATGTTATTATTATCACTACATTTCAACCAAAGATGAGGACAATAGTTTGAATGTAAATAATGATAACTCCTCATCCCAGAAATTCAGACAGAAAAGTCTTGTTATTTGCCATTTATAACAGCAAAATTGATAAACATCTTCAGTTTTTCGTTTTTATTTGAATCTCTATGAATAAAGATCAAATGTTAATATTTATGAAATCTATGTAGCATCATTCATAAAAGTAAGATTAGATTTTCCTTGATGTTCATAATTGACTAATAAATAATTCAATATTACTAATAAATTCAATCCCTACTTTTTATGAACAGGGATGCCACATTTGTTATGGTTGTGACAGCAGTCAACTTTATTCTTCTTTTCCTTAAACTATTTAAATTTATAGAACTAAATAAATTAGCCGATTTAAAATCATTAAATTTTATGGAAAAATGATAAATAATTCAAATACAGTGTAACCCGGATATAAGAGAGATTTTCTCTGGTCCCAAATTAGAGCCTGTGTTAATGTATATAAAATAGACCAAACCCGGATATAAGAGACTTCTCCGGTCCCGACAACTCTCTTATATCCGGGTTACACTGTACCTATTTTCATCTTTTATTCACATATAAATCAACAAGTATATTATTTCTCAGTTGTTGGTTTAATGACTCCTCCATACTGACTCACTAAGTGGGTCAAGCATTGCTCATTGAAGAAGCAATATTTAAACAAAAACAAACAAACAAACAAAAAAAATCATGGAAATATACAAACTTTGACCTTCATGCAAGCAAAAAAAAAAAAAAAAAAAAAAAAATGGAGTGTCAAAAGATAATTTTTCCCTTGACACCGCTATTATTTTAACTACCTTCATTCCTCAGCAATGTTTATTGTTTTAAAAAGCTATGATAAGCATTTTAATAAAACCTAAACATATGAAAGTGAATTTATACATTTTTTTTTGGTTTTGAAAATTGACAACAAAAGTATTAAAAGAATAATTTTATATTTACAATATTCTAAAAAGTAATACAATTGTATTAAAGCTAATGCAGTGCAATATTTATTATTTACCAATTTATAAAGAGATAAATATGAAAATTTTTTATTCATAAATTTATAAATATTTACTAAATTATTAAAATATATGAACCAACTAAGGAAATCATTATTATTCACCATTTTATAAAGTCTGAACCAATTGGCAATTAGATGATATTTTGCCAACCATTCCAATAAACAATATAATAAATGTTATTTTTGTTGTCAATTCTCAAAAACAAAGGAAATGTATAAATTCACTTTCATATGTTTAGGTTTTATGACAATTCTAATCATTGCTTTTTTTTAAACAATAAACTTTGCCAAGGAGTGAAGGTTGTTAAAATAATAGTGTTAAAGTAAAAACAATCTTTTTGACATTTTTTTTGGGGGGGGGGTCCAAAATTGGCCAAACTTTATTTTATAAAATATATGTATGTAAATTTCTTATTACTAATGTTATATTTACCACTAACCTGTAGCTGTACTCACCATGCTTGGCCAATTGCTGGTTGGTGAGGCTATTTAACCCTTAGATGGGAGGGAGAAGAAATGCATTCATGTCTTTCTCAAGAATATTTTCATGAAATTGAACACAACAGATGAGGCTGGCAGCATGCCAATCCCACTTTCTGCACAAATAACTTTCACCTAAAATCTCGTGGCATCGATACTAAGTTTAGTTTTGACACTGTCATAAGCTTGGTAAATAACAATAATAAAAAAAAAGCTGTGGTTATATTATTTAAACAAATAAAAAAATAAAATTAATTACTGGTTGATGTCATGTTTAACTTTGGCCAATTGTGTCCTTTCAGCAGGTGTAATGGTTTGTTCGACTTCTGCTTTTTGAGTTTCATCCACACCACTCTGATCAAGTGAGGCTATGATGGCTTCCACTCTTTGTTGTTTGTCTAACAAACGCCTGAAGATGTAAAAATAAATATAAACAATCTTTTTTTTTTTACAATTTTTCAAATAATAATTTACATGAAAAATTTTGAAATCTCTCTATTAGTAAAATGGTTCACTTGTGATATTCATCACAATTTACTAACAGTGCAAATGAAAATCTTATTAAAAAATACATTTGCAATTTAACTTCCTGAAAAATAAAATAAAATCTGATTTAGCAAAATCTGAAAAATGAGACATTTAATATAAAGTTGAAAAGAATTCAATCCTGTCAAAGTTAAATGTAAAAGGTGAGACTTATATATGGAGAATTGGGAATTATTTAAGGTAGAAAATTGGCTGAAGTGAAATCCCCTCTATCCTCTTTGATATTAAGAGAAACACTGACATGAGTGTTTGAATCCATAAAACTGATATTTCTGACTGAGCGCTATATGCTCAATATTTGGGTGGGGCTTAAGAAGGAAGCCTTTAAAAGATTTAAACAAATATATCTGTGCCCAGGAAGAAGTGCATGTGTGTGTGTATATATATATATATATATATATTAAAAATTCCTACTACTCTAAATGTTATTTTGTAGATACCTCTATTGGAGTAGATACCTTTTCTTTTTTTCAAACTGTGAATCACACCTACTGACAGATATGGGAACATCTAAATAAGAGGATATGCATTCTCCAAAAGAGTAATTCTGGGTTGTGATGCTCTCTGAAACACACCAGATCAGATTGTGGTTTCTCCTTCAAAAGGAGGACACAGGTTCAAACCTTGCCAGAAACTACATTTTTTTTTTCAAATTAAATCTCTTGATTGCACATGCCCGTAAATGTAATTCACACTTTAAAAAGGAAAGAAAAAAAAAACAGGGCATCTTACTCAAACATGGGTTATCTACAAAATAATGTTTGGAGTAATAGGAAATAATTTTGGATAAAGAATCTATTAACTCTTTAGAAATTATAGTGGATGAGATTTATAAAACTGCTCCTAGCACTTGTTTCAGAAAACAGATTTACTTTGCTTATGGTACAAGAAGTGTTGTACATGTATCTGGAGGCTCAAGTTAATTATAAAAGTCTAGTATGGTCAATCATATGGGGAACTCCATTTTATATTGTTTGAAATCACTTGTGTGGTGAGATTTGTTGTTGCTGATATTGATTGATTGATTTGGTTACCAAGTTCACCAACACAAGGCCCAGGAGTCATTCAAGATAGAGAGTTAGTGAATGAAGCATGTTATATGAAAGTAGTAAGAGAACATTATGAGGAGATATAATGATTGCCCTTAGACTTGAAGAGGTTAAGCTTGTAGTGTTCTGGAAAATGTTCATGCAGGAGTCTGTTCTGCATCTTGAGAAGAAGCTTTCTGAGTTGAACGTTTTTCTTATGAAAGGAATATATAGGGAATGAAGGTGATTCAACTCCATGGATGTAGCAAAGTTGGTCTTGGTTGTAAAAGTCTGAGCTGATGGTACTAAAAAATAAAGCTTGTCTGAACAATTAGCTTGGAAATAATAATAGAGTAGTAATGGCCTTGTAATATTGAACCTGTGGGAAAGGATCTGGAAGATGGAAAATAAGTCATCTCCCACATGTTGCATAAATGATGCTGGAAAGTGAGAATTGGGCAGCTCCAGAAAGTATAAAATCTCAATAAAAATGTATGAATCTGTTAGGTTTTGTGAAGATGTATGAAATTGTTGTTATGCAAGATATTGAAAGAAACAATTGCTTTTTTGCCTTCAACAGCATATAAGAGGTGATTAGTAAGAAAAAAAAAAAAACTCACTGTAAAAACCTCAGTCAGTCAACCTCAGTGTAACATTTTTAAAAAATTCATTTTTAAAAAATTCATTTTTAAGTCAATAACTTTTTACTTAAAGGACTGTATGGTTTCCTTTTGGCATATTGCCAGTATTGTTACTCTTGCACTTTAGGATTAATGAATAAAGTGTATGAATTGTTTATTTCTATGGTTGACTATGGTTAACTGAAACTACACATAACATCCAGGGACTAGGTTCAGTCAGAACTAAGAAATCCTCAAAAGAACTGATGCAAATTTCTAATGGAGAATCAGACACACAGTATTCACATTTTTATCAGTGGTAAAGAAATAACTTTTGATCAAATTTTCCTGTTTTAACCGGAAAATTTGATCAAACAAAAAACAAAAGAAAAAAAAAGTTAATCAAAAAATAAAAACTTTTGAAAATTGGTTTCCTAGTTTGCACATGGGGAAAAAATTTAGATTGCATGATTTTTACAAGAAAAACATTTTAGACAAATTAATTCAACAAAAGGATAAGAAAACAAATTATTATTTACCTATGTTCTTTTACTTCATGTTCTCTGCGTAACATAGCATTGGACAGAGCCTGTGAAGAAAGAAATAGATTTCAAATGATTTTATCATTAACAACTATATATATATATATATATATATATATATATATATACACACAAATTGGATGACAAAAATATTCTCTGTATTTTTTTTATTTAGTTGACATGTGGGTACACAAAGTTTTGAAATTCACAAAATTTTCGGTTTTTCCTTCAACCTTTGTCAGTGCTTAATATTGAATAATGTTTTACAAACTGGGCCAAATCCAGCAAACGTTAATGACATTAGTATAAGAATCAGCCACTTACAAAGATTTTTATTGCCTCTTCCACATTCTTTTACATATGTAAAAAATTAAGATAGAATACAGGGTGCAATGTCATCTAAATTATGCAAAAAATAACACTGACATCTCATTTTAACAGATATATTTACCAAAATTACACAAAAATATCTTGAAATACTAAAGAGTAAACTTATTTAACAAAATCGCCATTGATTTCGCCCACAGCCTACAGACGACTTTAGAATCTCCTGAAACTCTTCTGGACAGTCTCCTTTTTCAAGTTGGTGAATACTGGCATAATCCTTGTCTTCAGTTCATCTTTGGTATTAAAAAAAGAGTTTGCTGGTTGCTTGTTCAACTGTGCCCCACACAGGAATGGGGTTGTAGTCGGGAGAGTTAGGTAGCCAGATGTAAGGGGTAATGTGGTCACAGAAATTGTTTGATAGCTGATCTTCTCGCAAAATGCAAAATTGGTGAAATTGAGACTTTCCTGATGCAGCCACAACTTCACTGGTCTGGTCATATTCCAAACATGAGTGACAACAGAATACCTAAGGTCCTCATGTATAGCCAGCTTGACAGTAGACAAAGGACTGTTGGACAGCTGTGGCTCAGATATAAAGACAAGCTAAAGAGTAACCTCTCAACTGTCAATGTGCCTCATACTAACTTTGAGCAAGTCGCCCTGGATAGAAATAACTGCAGATATTTATGTCAAAATGGAATCAGAAATTTCAAAATCAGTCATATTGACTGGCTAAGAGATGAAAGACAATGATGTAAAGCATTGGCAAATATTCCTGTAGGTATGTCCTGAGATCCTTGCTGTTGCACAATATGTGGATTTGTATGCAGGTCACTAATCAAACTGAAGAGTTATATATGACACAAACATAAAGCTGAATAATGTTGTTGGGTCTTCATACATTGAAATCAGTGGGAGAATCCATTGTGTGTGTAAGAGAGAGAGAGTAATAGAAATCAATACTGCATGGTGGTGACTATCAATTTCATGGCTTTAGCAATCTTCAGATGGTTTAAACAGACATTTTCTCAAGATATCTGATTATGAATTAATGTTTTTTTTTCAATGACATTCATGTGAATTGAACACAGAGCAACCTCAAATGGAAGTTGAACTTTGTTCATAGATTCCATTTCCTTTGCAGATAATCATTATGCTACACCATATCTCCAAATAGTGAGAACATAGAGCATAGGGAGAAGTTGGTTCATGTCTTTTGCAATGACTTTAGTGCAAAGTGACATAAATATCCCTGGCTGGAATTCAATGTTGGCTTGTCAATTCTCTTTTCCATAACAATAAAAATATTACTATAAACCTCAGAGTGATATTATGTTACTAGTTCAGTACCTGTCGATTAAATTTCAAATTGTCTGTTCATTTAAAATACTAAATTTATTAGAAAATATATTCAGTTTAAATATAGATGGATTCATAAAATTAACTTCAAAAGGCTGATTTCTATTCTTTTCCTGTTAACCAGGAATTGTTGCAAGACTAAAAAGGAAATTAGCTGATGTGATACAAATGTCCATTCCAGTTTCATTCAAAATGTGTGTATGTATGTTTGCGAATGTATATTTTAATTCAGTGACAGGCCTAAAAATACAAAATTTAAGAAAAAAAAAGTTTTACAAATAATTTTTTTTATTACTGCATAATTTCTGAAATATCCTACATCAGGGAAGCATTTATAAAAATTGGTTAATTTTTCCCCTCTTTACAATTGTAAATATTTTATTGTTTTAAGTTGTATAAGGATATGATTATATTATTTGATTATTGATCAATTATTTCAATATTTTCTAAAATAAAATGTTTTAATTTTTGTTCATATTATTTATCATATATACTATAATTTTCATTATTACTTTGATATGTTAAATACAAAAACAAGAGAGTTTTTTTTATTTTATATATGATATTAAAAGTAATATAACAATTATTATTTAAGAATAATGTATTCCTTATGGTTTGTAGGCTGAAATATTGCATTGGTTTGAATTTGGCCCATTGTAGTTTGCCAACTTTTACCCTAAATGGTTATTGGTACCAGGTGCAGATTTCTACCAATATTCCTATTAATAAGGTGTCTGCAGTAATGGATTATTTAAAAATATCTTTCTTTGAAAATAGACATGTAATCACAACATGAACCGCTTTCTCTGTGTCGACTCACCTGATAACAACGTTCAAGAAGCATCCGAGCAACTTGTTGAATATCAACAGTAAAAAGGTAAAATGTCCGTGAAGGGGCATGGTCAGGTGCTTTGGACACCTCCTAAAGGAAGAAAAAACAAAAAAGTGATTCAAATAAGCATTTTCATAAAGCAGTTGTTCTTAATTTTTTATAGCTAGTACCCCTTTCCTTCAAGATTTCAAAAACTTTCATACAACCCTTGATTTTAATTTTTTTTTAATCATTTCACCCCAAGCAAGGCAATAATGCCACTAAAATGCAAGAAGTTACTAGGAGTGAAAGAGAATGAGAAGACTTTAATGAGGAGAAAGGACAATAAAAGACGAAGACAGAAGATGGCGATTGGCATTGCATTTAAATTTTTGAAGAGTGTAAGTGGCAGGAAAACAAGTTGACTATTAAATTGAATATTAAAAGTATAAATGATCAAATATATGTATAAAAAAAAAAAAACGTGAGTAAGTTGCCATGGTTAAATGTAAAATAAATAGCAGAACTGCCCAAGAAACAAAATTGACAAAGTTTGCAATAAACAATAACAAGAAAAAGAAACAAACAAGGAAAAAAATAATATAAAGTAAGCAAACAATATCTGAAAGGCAAAACAACAGTAATATGGCAAAAAGTTCACAAACTAAGAATTGGGGTTGATACACAAAAATAAGTTTTGGTAAGTGAACGTAGTGTTCTGATTACAAGAGAAGACAGACTGGGACTGAGTCTGATGAAACCGAGAACCAGCCTATTTTACTGGCTCAGAAAAAAATCCCAGCATGCATTTGTATGTTTCTGTCTGTAAATTGGGGGGGGGGGGCAAGTATTTTGCAATCATTTCGACCATAGATTTGAATCAACAGTCTGTAGCAAGACATGTTGAATAAAATCATTTAATACTCTGGTTCATGTGGGATAAGATATGCTCAAACCTATTTATTTATCCTATAAAAGCCAGAAATAACACTCAAGAACTAAATGATAGATATCTATAATATTTTAAATGAGGTATTTGAAAATCTCACAGTACAAATGCTGTGACAATACCTCAGACTACAAGTAGAGGGTTAAAAGTTGTGCTTCTCTGCTGCAAAAAAACAAAAAGTAAAATAATGAAGCGAATACTGTAAACTTACAGTTACTGTAATAAAACCATTTGTGAACATGTTGTACAAATATTCTTTTACTTCTTTGGCAGGAATCATGGCATATTCTTCAATCTGAAATGATAAAATTTAATGTTGGAGAATCAAATAATTCAAAGATTATGGCCCATTTCGTGGCTGAAGTAGTTGCACATTTGCCCGGTCCTGTTTGTTTTTGTGGCGTATTAAGCTAATTAGTAATTATTGAAAAAAAAAAGATTCAAGGATTATTCTAACAACACTCAGACTGAATTCTGTGAGGTTTATTCAAAACCATTTTAATTGAAAATGTCTGAAGATGGATATTTTTTATCCGATCTGCAAATAGCTTTTGAATAGAGAAGTTTGTAACTGAAAAATTGTCATTACCTTCAATGAAGTGAATATAATTTGGTTGGTTTACTTAAGATCATCTTATTAAAAACAAAAGAAAATGGAATACTATAGGATTTTTTTCTAGATAGATTGAATTATTTCCATACTTTTCTGGTAGCACTAATTTTTTTTTTCCAAAGAAACTTGGAATTTTACTTTTTTCAGAAAACCCAAGTGTAATTCTCTTTTAGGCATGGCCATAGTCAATGTAGAATATGAAAAAGAAATTTTGATATCTTTACTACCTGTCTTCACAAATTTACAAAAAAAAGTAACAAATGTGTAATAGAAACTGTTGTGAAATTCAAAAGCACATAAAATTCACCTGTTTTTGTTCTAGATGTCTCTTTAGAAGTAAAATCCGGAAAATTCTGAGACTTTTTGAACCAAATCTGTGAAGACAAAAAATATAACAATATCAAGATGAGAGTTAAATTTTATATTTTGAAACTAATGTAAATGTTGTAATCACTGATTTCTGTGTAAAAGAATAATGTTATTTTTTTTTATAAAAGGTTTATGCTGTTACTTTATTAATAATAATAATAATATTAAATCAGATCAAAAATAAATGGCTGTCATCAAATTACAGCCTCTTGCAACTTAGTTGGGTCATTACAACAGAGTCCTATTACTGTGATTTGGTAATTGATGCATCAAAAGCTGCAAGCATTTTGGCTGGCATTGGTGAAAAGAAAAGACACTCTTCATCTATAGGGTAAAACCAGACTTTATACTTTTAAAAACACTTGACAAAAGAAAAAGAAAATGATCAAACCTATTCCCTACAGATTACCACTTTTTCTGATATTCATATGTGAATTACTTAAAAAAAAATGTCTTTGGATAGTTTGTAAACTCCAGTTTTCATCATGATGGAATTAATTGCTGAATCATTAGCAACAGTATATTATTTCTAATGATGCTTACTTTTAACTAAAATTTTTGAGGGTTTAAAATTTGTAGCTCAAAATAACCAGGTATTTTTGCTCTAGCCTAATAATGAGGAAACTAAAAATTTTGTTCTGTTTTTGTGTTCAGATGGTATTATGAGCACTTAATTTTAGCTTTATTAAAAAGTATTGTTTTTTGATTGTACTGTAACAGTTGTACAAGATCAGCATTGCATTAATTCAAAGATTTTGTCAAATTTGGCAGATTTTTGTTTATTGAGTTTGAAATTGAAGATGGAAGAAAATAAACAACATTTTTGGCATATTGGGCATTTTTTATTTTATGAAAGGTAAAAATGGGACTAAAATACAAAAAAAAAAAAATGATTAAATATCTCAAACATGATTAGGAATTGATTGATTTGTTTTTTATGGCTTATCAACCTTTTGTGGGTAATTTAAAGCTGAAACCCATTTTGAATTGTAGGAGGTTGCTTGCAGTACTCAATGTTCCCAAGCAGTCCCCCAACTAAGTATTGACTGAGCTTGATGCTGCTTAACTTTGGTGATCAAGTGAAAAATCAGTATTTTTATCATGATTTGACTTTTTAGACAAGTTATTTGGAAAGCTTTGTGCTGGAGCTTTGCTGAATGAAGTTCCACTGTTGGTTCAGGCCAGCAGAGGTTGGTGGCAATCAAATAAAGTTCTTACTTCAGAATAAGCAACATTACATGACACAAAACTTAACCAAAATAGTGAAAGTATCCAATCCAGTGTTTATGATCATTTATAACAGTTTGATTATATTAGCTACTTTTATATGTGGTTTCCATATAAGTTAAGCAAGAAAATCTATTGGACTTAATTCCATGTGTGTTTCACTCCTCAAACATAATGGAAATGTTTATTTTTTAAATAAATTCTCATAGGCAATAAACAATGGAGACTTTGAAACAATATGTAAGGCAAGAGATCATAGGGGTAAGCAAACTGAACCAGCGCTAATCATGTAACAGAAAAAGTTGATACTGTATATATAGTGAGATTGGAAGAGAACTGTCTATTACAAACTATTACAAATTATCTGAAGAACCAAAAGATTCATTCTAGAAATTATATCTGCCAATTAAACTAATTGGAGGCAGCAATTGATGAAAAGATTCTGGAATTAATTAAAAGAAACGGTAAAATATTCAGTTAGTTGGACTACATGTTTTTTTCATGAGTAGATAAAAATTGTCACAGTAGGGCTGAGAAGTTTTCACCTGGTCACCAGATATACTTTGGGAAAGGTATGAATCCAATGGTAATTGCAATTTATCCCAATGACTCAGTAAAATGTCTCATCCCTGGCATGCCGTGTGGGTTGACAAAGAGAGTGGATAGGTAAGAACTTGAATGAATCACTTTCCTTTAACTATCTTACCATTCACATCCAGGAAGTTGCAAACAAAAACTGCCATGTCTATAATTAAATAAGATTATATATATATATATATATATATATGTGTGTGTGTGTGTATGGGTGTGTACATACACATACAGATAGATAGATAGAGAGGGAGGGAGAGTGGCTGATTCAACCAAGAACCCCTCAAAAGATATACCAGATCAGATTTTGGGAAGTAGGTTGGGCTGAAATCTTTTTTTTAGTATTTTCTTGTATTCAGGTTTTACATATAGAATGAAAAACTTGAAACAAGTTAAGAAATGTCAAATATTACATTTGAACTGTGTAGAAGAGCTTGTCTACATTTTTAGAATGTCTTTTCTCATGTCAGATATTTATATCTCAAAGTTAATACGAGTAGCTAGGTTTGCATATCATCTGGTTCACGTTTGTCCCTGGTCTTTTAAACTGGAGTAGAGGTGTATCCCTTGCGTCTTGTTTAGGATTGGGTTTCCAGTTCTTTCTAAAATCTTCTCATTCTCTTTCACTCCCAGTAGCCCCTTGCATCTTAGTGGCATTATGGCCTTGCTTGGGGTGAACTGATTAAACAAAAAGTGGCATTTGTACTGAATTTCATTTTTTTTTTTTTTATAACCAGATACTTCAACTAAATAATCTAGCATCCATGAAAAATCAAACAATAGAGAGAGGAGAAGGGTTTGTCTTACCTTTCCTGAACAACAGACTGAATGTGACTCTTGCACAGAGCAGTCAGTGACTTGTAGACATCTGTGAGAAAGTTATTAAGGAAACTCAACAAATATTTATTCTGATATAAATTAATCATACATCTAAATTTAAAAAAAAATATTTTAAATAGTTTTTCTGTTTTCTTCAGCAAAAAATTTTTTTTATAAAAAACATTTTTTTAAAATTTAATTTTGCTGTTTATGATAGTAAACACAAAAGTGTTATGTTTTTGTAATATTTCAAATATATAATTGCAAAAACGTTTTCTTCCAGGGCTGTGGAGTTGGAGATGGAAACAATTAAGAGGACACTGGTAAAACTATACCAACTCCAGTTGAACTTACACTTTATGTAAAATCGTATATTATAGAATTTTTATTTTTATTTCTTCTACTGTATATTCACTATTTTCTTTAAAGAAATTCATCTCAACTTCTTTTTTAAAGTCATTTTATTTTTTGTAGTTATTTTGTAGTTGCAAAACTATATATGTAAAAAAAAAAAAAAAATCTTACATTATAGAATTTTTATTATGTATTTTACAGCTTGTAAAAGATAATATTTCAACTTCTATTATAATAAAAGTAGTTTTATTTTTTATTCTATACTTATTTCTTATTTGCAAAGATATATATATATATATATATATATATATATATATATATATATATATATATATATATATTATTATGTCATTTGCAGACAGTACTGTTTCGCTGTATCAAAGCTCCTCAGTGCAACTAGACAACCGACTGCCTTAAGCCTGGATTGAAATCTTTTAGAGGGAAAGAATTTTAAACTGTACCCATCTTGAAAATATAGTAGAGAATCATAAAAATTTTTTTCAATTTAATGGAGAAGCAATCACAACAAATGTTTTAATAAAAAGGTTATCGATATCATTTTCTTTATTCTCAAGTTAGAAACAGTTTCCAAAAAGAAAAGCCAAAATTTGATGATGGTTGTTCTTTTATGACAGATTGTTGCTCTTTCTCTAAAAATAAGGATGTATTTCCCCTTCATCCATCAGACGTCAATTTGAGTCTGAAAAACGATGTTGTCCTTGTAAGAGACAAACACAATCTTGTTTACCAAACCCTAAAGTGATAAAAAGACACTCTATTAGAATGGATAGTATTTTCATTTTTAGAGATTACCCTAAAATCTATTTCATGTATGCTATCAATAACACCATTATTTTGTGCATTTATATACAACAGGGCATCTACTCAAACATGTGTATCCACTGAAATATGTTTGTGTATTATTACTTCACATTATATCTACCATTATAGATTTTATTTCTGATGTTATAATAGCAGATAAAAGTATTGAGATTTAATGAAACTAAATGATCTACAACAGTTTATCATTGTCCAGATAGTAATGGCTTAAAACATTGAAAGGAGGGAAAACTTGGAGCTGCAGTAGAATGAATGTGTGTGTTTGCTCATTCATGGCCTACCTTATAAGCATCTGTATCTGTGTACAGGTGGCATCTCCTTAATCATCCTCATATGTTTCCTTTCAATAGACAATTTGCCTTTATATTAACATTGATGTATGATTGCTTACTTGCAATTAATTTCAAATGTCCAATATTTTTCCCAATGCCTGAAAAACAGATGACCCTAATGCTGACAAGTGGATTTAACCTTGCCTATAAATCCACATAGAATTGTGCAAAATATAAACATCTTGATAGGTTGACTGACCTACATTTTAGCCAGGAAACCATTAATCCTGTCAAGCTAGGTAGGCAGAAGGGGGGATTGGGTGAATTGTGAATTTACTTGATCTCGCTAAGTTCCAGCCTTTGATTCTTCCTGGTTCTGATTCCACCATTCACTTTTAATTAGCATTTTTAATTGGTTCTTTCTTTTAACTTTCCTCATATTTTCTCATCTAATATAAGTTTTCCAAAGGATGTTTTCATGCACAAATAAGACTTTGCCTAGTTACATTACCTAAAATAAAATACTGATAATTTTAGTTTGATTTACTTTCATTACTTACAATTCCATTTTGTATGCTGTTACATTGGCTAAATTAGGTTGGCTTATTAAACTGTCTCCTCAAAACTGCTTCCTATAAAAAAAAAAATAAACAAAATGTCTAGATGGGTGCTCAGCAATTATTCTAAGTAATTAGACTTAGCAATTAAATATGAGGAATGCAAGTTGTTATTGCCATTCTGTTGAATAACTGAAAACTTATACACTACTGGTGTAAGTACATATGTTCCTACATATTGCTTCTTTGTAATCACTGTATATATACTTACCCCAAATAATATCATTACAGTTTTAATGGAATTAAACAAAGGATACTTATTTCATATATTCCTCCACCACTGTCTCCAGATCGGGTTACAAATTCCGACTGAGAAAGAAAAGAAAATACACAACTAATTTTAATCTGTTGTTTGTAGCACTATAAATTTATGATTATTTTTATTGAGACAAGAATGTTTATTTGAACTAGTGATCTCATCATTATTGATTTTACTATAATATTTAAGATAATTCTCCAAATTTCAATTACTGATAACCCAAAATGTTTGTTCAGTCTTTTTTGTTATATGTTATGAGGAGCATTCTACAAAATAAGATTAGCACAGTTTATGAAGAAGGTTCTGTGAAAAAATTAAATATGTCAAAAGTGATTTGCAGAGTTTTGTGTTGCAGATTTCTCACGAATGATGCTCTGCTAATGGGTAGATCAGTTGGGGTTGTTAGCAATCAAATGAATTTTATAGGACGTGAGAGAGAGAGGGCCAAATCAAGGAATGAAAACTATTTGCACTAGATTGGTTATGTTAATTGCATTAATGTATTGTATCTGCATAAAAGTTAAAAAGAAAAAGACTAGATTTAAACCATCATCTTTTCCATTTAAAAAGAATTAAAAATTATTTTAATTGATTATATCTGCATGTGGATACAATCCCAGCATAAGGAATTTCTGGGAAGTTCCTGAAAACCACACCACAGGTTAATCCAAATTTTGTGAATGAAAATTGTATGGAAATTGTTGATAGTTGTGCTACCACAAAGTCACAAGTGAAAATGACTAGCCTTTTCAAACTGTTGATCATGCTAGATTATACACATTCTCCTAGTAAGGTCCACTCAGCACAGTTGCAGTATAAATCATAGGTTAGCTCTGGGGTGTTGAAGAAACACAAATGTGTTTCTATGGTATGTTTTATATGGACAATATAACAGAAGGAAATCCACAATCTGGTCACATTCTTTAAGCACTAGCTTAAGATCAATGTAGAGTGAGAGGCCTTTCTCAGTGGACTTTAGCAAAAGGTGGGAGAATTCTGTATGATTGTCATGTAAGTGGCACTAGATTGGAGTGGTATTTTGAAATAACTGGTCAAAGAAAGGATTCTGAGAATGACTTGTCAGTCAAACCCAAATTAAAGTAGAATAGTATTTTTTCTTTCTTTTGTTAAGAGAGTTTAATTTAAGGAACATAAGTACATTGGTCTTTTACTTTTTTTAGTTTACCACTTTTTTCTTCCTCACTTACCCTATCCATTCTTCATTGAACAAAAGAACGTAAAGTCCTCTAGAATATTTTGCTTTTTTTTTTTTCCTTTGTCTTCATTTTTCCATGTTCCTTTTTAATTAATTAATTTACCTTTCTGTCATATTAGATTATTAGGGTGGGGAGACATATTAATACATTTTTGTTTGTAAATATATTTTAATTTAGATGCATCTCTTTTAAAAAAAAAATGAGAGTAAAAAAGGAGTATATTAAAAGGAAAATACTTACATCATCACACATCACTGATAAATACTGTTCAAGAATTGGTTTTGTGATTCCTAAATCTTTGGGGAGGTTATGGAAAATCTGAATGAAAAATAAAAGTGATAAATATTCCAAGTTACAGAAAATGAAAAACTTGAGAAATTCCAAAACATTTGTCAACATTTTCACATCAACCCTGCCAATTTTCTTAACGCTTTCCAGATGGACCAGCTTGTTTGGTCAACCAAATCAAATCTAATAATACTCATTTATCATAGAGGAGTATACACTATTGAATCACCTGAGCAACATAATACTTCAATGTAGCAATGTTCTGACTTGGAATTCATGATTTATTTGCTTTCATTAACAAATTATCAAATTATATTTGGTTTTCAAAGGAAACTACCAAAACCAGATAGGAGTAAAAATACCTCTACCAAACTGATCACAGAATAATAATATATATTCTTTCATAGATGAGTTAGATTGTGTACATATTTAAATTTTAATTTAAAACTGGTAAAATTAATAAATATGATGGGTTGTTGAAAAGTTCTCAGCCTAGCCCAAATCTGACCAAATGACTAAATATCTGTCAATAATATTTTTTTTTTTTTTTTGCAAGGGAAAGGTCTTTTTAGTTAGGATGAGAACTTTCAGTATTTTCTTATAAATTCAATCTAGAAAGGTTTTATTTTTTTTTGTATAATCTTCATGTCAGCATATAAATTTTTGTGGAAGGCATATTTCATATATTCAGAACTTAAGCATTAACTGACATGTCTTTACAGACATATTTAATGCTTTCAAGTCCGCTAAGTAACAAAGAAACAAGGATTTGAAACAATTTTTGTAAAAAGCTGAAATTATTTTAAGAAATAATATTATAGCATTAATAATAGGAATATATAATTTTACAAAATACATAATATTAAATAAGCTTATATGTAACATAAAAACATCTTTACTTCAAAGGGTATTGTATATCTCAACAAGAGATGTGCATTTCTAAAATTGGTAATTGAACCTTGTTTCATCATGATTTCCCATTGCCTAAGTAGGGCACACTTTGGCTCAAAAAGTGGTTTCCATGAAGAAAAAAGGGAATACAGGTTAATTTCCTGTGAGAAAGCACATTTTCTATAAGACTTCTTGATCTCTAGGCTGGTTGATATTTTCACTGCCTAAAATAACAAGGATGTCAACTCAAACTTGTGTATCCACTAAATATGTTTAAAAATATGTACAAAGGACAATAGAAATCAGGAGCATTCAAAATAAACAGTCACCTATCTTGAAAAATTGGTGTTATTGAGTAACTATATGAAACCTTTTATTTTTGAGAGTGTGTGTGTGTGTGTGTGTGTATATATATCAATACAAATGAAGTTTTTATGTAGAGAAAGAGACATAAAGTGTCAATGAATTAATAGAAGTTCAATTGACTTCAAGTTTCACAGAATGCCACTCATCAGGATCAGAGAGTTCAATAAATCTATTGAATTATTACCAGGTATCACATTTATACTCTACATAATAAATGCTAATTGTAAACTCCAAATGAAATTCAAATGTGAAATTTGGATCATGCCAGTGTGTTAAGAATGTGACAACATTTAAATATTCAGAAGCAGTTAAAAAAGTTTGATTTTTTTAAAAAATATAATTTTGCTGTTATTTCAGCAGATTCACCAATAATCCTATAATTTGGAAAATAGAGACATTAAACTATTGTAAGATAAATATGATCTTACTTGATTTATTTCTTACTGCCTCCCCTAGCTCTTGCCAATCTTTGCAACAGTCCTCTTGGCAACTCAGATCACTCTGTAGTATCTATTAATATTTTGTTCCAATCATCTCCTATTCAGAAGACCTCTTTCCATTACCAGCATGCTGATTGGGATTTAGCTCATGACATTCTTCAAGATGCCCCTTGGACTGACATATTTAATTTTCATATTGAGAATAGCACCATTGAGGTTTCTTCTTGGGTCAAAGCCAGCATAGATACTTTCATTCTCTCTTGGAAATACCAGGTGAAACCTCATTCTTCTCCATGGTTCACAGCAGTATACTCTGCTGTTATATATCACAGAAAGCATTATTTCCAGCTATACTAGCATGACAGTTCCCATCACAATTGACACCTATTCATGATTGCATGTAATAAATGTAAACATTTCCTTGAAGGTGCTAAGTCTCTGTTTGCTGAAAGAATTAGTCACCATATTACATCTAACAACTTTGGCTCTCATGATTACTAGTGGCTCTATAATAGTGTATTAAATAAGAGTAAGTATTCTATTCCTCCTCCTCCTCTCTTCAAGCAATTTGAGGTGTTAATGTCTTTAGGTGATAAAGTTGAATGTTTCACCCATAAATTCTCCTTAAACTCTACTGTTGACTCATCAGGAGTATGCTTCCCACTTAGAAGTTAGTCTGTTGAACGATATGCATATAACCCTTTCTATGGTTTTTACTGTCATCTCTAATCTGGATCCCCACAAAGCATATTAACCTGATGGTATCCCTATAATAGTCCTTAAGAAGTGTGCTCCTAAACAGGCTCCTGTTCTCTTTAAACTATCTAACAGGTGCCTTGCTGCCTCTTGCTTTCCCACCTGTTGGAAATCCTCCTCTGTTGTTCCAGTTTTTAAGAACTCAGGCAAATCTTCCAACCCTTCCAACTATTGGCCTATTAACCTTTTACTACTTTTAGGGAAAACCACTGGAGACCTAAATCAATGCTGAATTGGTTAAGCATATCACATCAGTCTTCTTTCAGACAAGCAATATGGCTTTCATTTCTTTAGATCAACTGCTGATGTACTGACGATAATTGTAGGAAGACACTATCAAGCTCTAGATAAGAACGGTGAAGCTGAGGAGGTTGCTTTGGACATCTCAAAAGTTTTCAACAGGGTTTGGCATACAGGTCTTCTTCACTAAATTTTTGAACTGATCCAGTCTTTCTTATCAAATTGTGAAATGAAAATTATCCTGGACAGCATCTCCTCTGGGTCCTTTTGTACAAATCAGGTATTCCCAGAGGCTCTATCATTAGTCCTACTTTGATTTTAATTTTTATTAGTGACCTTCCTAACATCATCAGCTCTCAGCTTGGTATCTCTGTCTTGATAGTAAATCTGATCAGTCTGTTATGGTCAAATTGGCAGCTGATGTCAAAAATGACCTTCAGTCTGTTGTTAACTGGCACAAAGAATGGCTTATTAATTTTAACACCTCCAAAACTAAACTGCTCTCTAGTAATCATCTGAGAGACCACTTTATGCCTTCTATTGACATGTCTGATGCTAACCTCCAGGAGAGAGACTCACTGAACATTCTTGGGCAAACATTCTAGGCTGACATGAAGTGGAAAGGCTATAATGAATATATTGCTAGATCAACTGTTAAGAAAGTTGGGTCACTGTGTCATGCCAGACAATTTTTTTCTGTAGAAACTACCTTACATATCTATAAGTCTACCATTCGTCCAGCCTTAGAATATTGTTGTCACATATGGACCTGTGCTCCTGTTATACAGAGTGCAATGGATAAATTGTTGTTTAAATTATGCAAAAATGAAAATAAACACTGATATCTCATATATTTACCAAATCTACACAAAAATATCTTGAAATATATCTTGAAGTACATTTACTCAATATAAAATTGCCATTAGCTTCAACCACAGCCTCCAGAGGCCCTCACCAACCAATTCAGTAGTTCTTTTCTTATCAGAACAATCAGGTTGAGTTTTCTGAGCTGCCATACTTTTGTAATCACCATTAGATTCATCCAACTCTTTCCAAATCCTCTGCACTGTCCTCAGATTGACACCTAAACACTCTGAAATGTTTGTATTGGAGCTTCCGGCACAAAAGCCAAGCAGTACAGTATGCTGTTTCCAAATTTTTGGTGGAATGAATTGCATCATAGTGCTCTTTTTCTCACAGATGGTTCCCAACTGACCCTACTGTACTGTGTAGTCAACAAAATCAAAAACAACATTCATGTGCAAAATTAAAAATATAAAATGGCAAAAATTTACCCATTACACTCTCTATATCTAGAGATTCTTGATAAAATCCAAAGAAGAATCAGCAATGTTATTGGTCCTGATTTGGCTTCTTGACTTCAGGTACTTTCCCCACCACTGTAAAGTTGCCTCCCCATGCCTTTTCTATAAATACTTTCATGGTAATTGTTTGGATGAGCTTTTCACTATGGTACGTAGACTTTATGAGTTTAAGTACTAGACTGGCAATGAGGTCTCCTCAATTTAAAATTGAGTTGCCTAGATGTAACTGTAAGTTCTATGCTAACAGTTTCTTTTCTTGTACTTCTTGCTTGTCAAAATACCTTCTGGTTCCATGCTTTCCAGTCAATTTTAATCTTTAAAAATTTAAATGTAATGTCAATTGCTATCTACTGTCCTCACTCCTTAGTAATGTTTCTATTTTATAATACTTCCATGCCAAAACCTCCTTGTGTCTTAGTGGCTTTACTGCCTTGCTTGGAGTGATCATGATTAAAAAAAAAAAGAAAGTTACCTGGGAATAATTCAATAGATTCATTGGACCATCTGAACTTGATGAATGGTGTCTGTGTGAAATCTTGAAGTTAGTCAAGAAATAAGTCAACTGACCTGTCATTAATTTATTTAATAGAGTTCTGTACTGAGCATTTTTGAACAAAAATTCTGCTTGCCTTCAAATACATTAAATTCTAGTAATTTTTATGTAATTTGGTAGGTATTATTGATTTGTATTATGTGTATATTATTATATATATCAATACAATAATAAAGTCTCAATAATTTCATCACTGCTTAGAAAATGAAATGAACAGTTCAAATCCTAGTCACAGCAGCAACTTTCATGTTGATGCTTTTAAGATAAGGTATGAATCCAATTATTCTTTGCACCAACCATAGTATTAATAACTTTGACAGTCATGTCACTGGTATGTAGGCAAGGAGGAAAAAAAATGTTGGGTCAGTACATTGGGTTGATCTGCTCTCTTTGTAATTATGTTGCCAGGTTAACAGTAACAAATTTTTGCTGTAATATCATGGAATTTAAACTCTTAACAAAAAAAAAAAACACACACACACACATAATAATTAACAGTATGGCCTTTTCCATATGTTTCTCTTCATAACCTCTGTCACACTAAAACAGATATATGAAATTAAGAAGGGAAACAATGTCTGATTGGATCATCTGACCTGGAGGTAAGTAGGCAACTGATACATCCATTAAACCAATATTCTGATACTTGAACATTTCAATCAAATTAACCTGCAGATATTGTTAATGCCCACTGTAATATCTAGTATTAATTATAAATGTACATAAAATTATATGTAGTATCTAGTAATTAATTATAAAAAAAAACAAAAAAAAAACTGAAATCAATTTTTTTTTTTTAAATTTGGAATTATGGTATTAATTTTAGGTTTATATTAAAAAAATCCAGTATTAATTATAGGTTTCTATGAATAACCCATTAATATCCATTGTCTTAATAATAGGACAGTGGGCATTAATGGGTTAGGCAAAGTACACAAATACTATAATTGGAGGTAAAAGTGCTGATCCTTAAGTAAATAATCCAGTCATTTTTATGAATAGTATACTAATTAATAAATATTTTAAAATTTTAATACAAAATGGTTCTCAGCTACCTTAGACTTATAGATACATGACATTTTAAATTTTGTTTCACCAAGGCATAAAAATCAGAATGGAAACCAAAATATAAGACTTACTTCATTTATGGAGATAGGAGCAGTGGAGAGGGCATCAGGAGATGAACTAACCTCTCCAATTCTCAGCATTGTCCGAATGATTTCAGAGGCTTTCTAAAAACAATATATAAATAATAAAAAAAAATGGAAAGAAAGAAAAAAGAAAAGAAAAGATTAAAATTATTCCAAAGGTTTATATGGTATTTCCAGGATGTTTGTTATTTACACTATTTATACTGTATAGACTATTGTCCTCATATTCATGTTTTGGATGTTGTATGTCTAGGCCTTCTTCAGTTCTTGGGAACACATGGTCCAGTCGATAAAAGTGTTGGTTGAAGTAATCCAGTGACTTGACCCAAAGAATTGTGAGTTCAATACCTGGTCACTGCAGATGTGAACAAAAAACTTGGATAGTTGAGTTACTAAAGATAACGGAGATATCCAGCAAAGGCATGGCACATGCAACTAGAACAATTTATCCCAGTGGATGAAATAAAGGATTCAGTTTGAAATTCCAATGTATATCACCTGAAGAAGGCTGGAGAATACAATGGCCAAAACATTGTGAATATGACAATAAAAATGAGAACAATAGTCTGAACAATATAAATAGTCACAATAGCTCATCTCAGGAATATAGACAGATGTTTGTTATTAAAATTCTTAAAATTCGCAAAAAAAAAAATATAAACATTCGGCAATGTTTAACCTTCGTACCCACAAAAAAAAATGCAGTGTCAAAAGGATGGTTTTCTCCTTGGCACCATTATTATTTTAACTGCCTTCACTCCTTGGCAATGTTTATTGTTTTAAAAAGTAACAATTAGAATTTTAATGAAACCTAAGCATATAAAAGTGAATTTATACATTTTCTTTGTTCTTGAGAATTTACAACAAAAATAAGGGAAAAACTGTCTTTTTGAAAATTCTGTTTTTTTGTGGGTATGAAGGTCCAAGATTGCCTAACAATCTATACCACAGGTGGCCAATCTTGCTTCATGTAAGAACCATCTATATGATAAATTACACCTGTTTGAGAGTTGCAAGACATAAGCAAAATTTATACACACATTTTTATTGTTGCATATATATTTCATTATAAACATTTTCTATAAATATTAGCAAATATATTCACACATCAATATTTATTTATGCATGTAGATATTTTAAACAGTTAACTTGTATTGGTTTTAGTTATCATCTAAAAGGACAAATATATGCCAAATGTTTTTTCTAATTTGAATGATGATTTTAATTATATTGTATGCATTCAATAAGAAACTACAGAGACAATGAAGAAAGGTATTCAAAATTTGCTTTTCAGTAATTCAAAATTTGTGTCTTATTTGTTATGTTTTTGACAAGAGAACAAAAATCTTGTCTCATGGTTATGTTTATGAAACCATGTGATAAAATCCTTGCTGAATTTTGAAGTGAAGGTATTCTTCTATGTTCTGTGTCCTTTCAGGAGATTAGCAATCATGACTTTCCCCATTTTCCTGTCATTTGTAGCTTTTAATAAATTTCATCTTTTTGTTATCTCTCCTAAACCTTGTTCCACCATACATTTACTCAAGCTTGCTAGATAGGTTAAACGTTGTTTTCCTGTGTCCCTCTTGCCTTCAATCTGATCTGTGAGTATCAAATTTTCCAAGCTCCCTTTCCTCACATTGTACCCTAAAAATTTCAACTGTCTCTTCCTGATGGTAAGTATAAGTGCCTTTTCTCTAAAACATTGTTATTGCTTACATGTTCAGTCCATGGTATTCTCAGTATCCTTCTGTTTGCTTCAAGTCACAAGCTGTAAAAAGACACAACCTTACCCATTGCTGAAATTTGTCATGACCAGAAAAAGGCTCTCAGAACAAGATTATCAGAGGACCAGAGTGATTATATATGAAGAAATTGTGACTATGAGACTTTAATATATGCCCAGGGAGTTGTGCTCATAGGTCAGGACGCTTTTAGCTCTATTCCCATTTAGAAGCTGTTAGTCATCATCACAGGGAGAAGATGAGCATGATGGTAGTGTAGGGAAGTGAATTTGGTCATCACTCCACAGTTTACCCTTGTAAAACCAGCCCTCAAATGACAAAATCTCCCTCAGCTATAGAAAAAAAATTGTAATAAACCTCTGGTTAGAAAATCTAGTCAGACATAAGGCACATCTTTGCCTTACAGAAACAATGAAGAAAAATGAGTAAATTTGCTTTTCAAAATAAACATAAAATTAGACAGGCAAAATGAAAAATAATATAAACTGTCATAATGTAGATCCCCTGTGCCTGTTCTATAAATATTTTAATCATAATTATTCTTATAAGCTCTTCTTATGAATTTAAGCACAGTACTAGATTGGCAGCTAGGTCTTATAATTGTTGTTGAAATTGCTAGGTGTAATCATATAAGTTAAATGTTAACAGTTTCTTCTGCACTTCTCACTTGTGGAACTCTCTTATGGCTTCCTGCTTTTCTGTTAACTACAATCTTCAAAAATTTAGATATAATGTCAATCATCATCTGTCTCCTTGAATCCTGTTCTTTTATTGTCCTCTCTGTTTCTTTCACATTCAGTAACCAATTGGCATATGAGTGGCTTTTATTGCCTTGCTTGGAATGAAATGATTAAAAACAAAAAATATAGATAATAATAAAGCTTAAAGATTTTCTTGTTTATTTTTTTATGCTGATATATTTTCAAAATTGAAGAATATTATTACATTTTAAGAATATTTATGTTGCAGAACAGGCTCTTGAGAGAATGCTTCCACTATCATTACAATCTTAAACTCTTCAAGTCTAGGGTCAACATTTATCTATTCTATATATATATTCATAATCAGCACTAATTTCCTCCTTTTACATCCATACAGAAACCTTATTCAGTAACTCCCTACCTGGAGTGGCACTTCAGCCTTTTATTGGTAATTATTAGTAAAAACAATTAAAAAATAACTGTGTTGAGAAAAGAAGCTAAGCCAATATATTTCTAGAAGCAGCCCATTAAATGTCAGAGGGCTGGCCTTCCAGCTGACAGTTGGCCATTATTGATTTATATATAACATTAGTACTTATCTACTTACAGTTTTATACATGTGAAATTCAAGTAAGGACAACTTACTTTGTCAACTTTATTTACCATTCCTGAAATTATTAGCTGGTCCCGGTAATGTTGATGGAATCGATCAAAGTTCACTTGCCACTGGATATTTTCACTGTTACCCTGATATCAAAAATGGAAGAGTAATAAGTGAAAAAAAAAACAAAAAACAAAAAGCAAAAACAAAAAACAAAAAGCAAAAACAAAAAAAAAAAAAACATGAAATTTATTTATTTTTTTAACAGTGAAGTTCACCCTGTACATGGAGTCACTTGAGGGTTACAGAGTAAGAGGCAGTTTATGTGGATAGGAGGGGGAAGATAATGGTTAATTCTAGATTTGAATAGGTTAAGATTTTAGTGATTGGGGAAACATCCTCCTGGGAGTTGGTTCCATAGAGCAGTGGTTCATGGGAAGAATCTACTAGAGTGGGTCTTACTTATCGCCAAAGGAATACGGAGAGATTGAGGGTGGTTTGTTACAATGGATTCTAGCCATGAAGGTTAGAACTGGCAGAACCAAGAAATGCAGTTTGAGCAGTTCCCATAGAAGTAGTGATAGAGCAGTGAGAGGTTTGCCACATCCTGTCTATGAGAAACAGGTGGGAGGGTGATAAATAATTTGTCACTCACAAGGACTAAGTGCAAAGTAAAAAAAAAAAAAAAAAAAGCTCATCTCAAAAGATAATCATTGCTCTCTTTTAATCCTGGTCTATTAACCCAAAGATAAATATCACCATAATTATGAAAACACTGTAGAATAATATTAGTTTTTTTTGGGGTGGGCGTCGTGGGGCAACCATTTAACTTATATATTACTTTAACTGGAATTCTACATTCTAGTTTGCCATATCCACTGGGTTGAATCACCTTCATATATTTTTAGTAAGGAGGATGTTCCGCTCAGATAGCTTCTGCCAAAGAACTGCTACTTTGTGAAACAGACTCCTGTGTGGATGCTTCCTTGAACACTACAATCATAACCTCTTTAAATCTAAGGGGAACTGTTATCTATTCTCCATATCCTTGTAATCTACACTTCCTTTTATGTTCAGATCATGCACTTCATTCACTAATCTATCTTCAGTGGCTCTTTAGCCTTGTAATGAGTGAACTTTAGTAGAAAAACAAAAAGGAACAGATATAAAACAGCATTGTATAGTTTTAGATTATCAAGTACAACAAAATTATATAGATTAAAAAACAAAACTAAAACAAAAGACAGCCTAAAAATAAAATCTATTTTCTGGCCTTGTTTTTTTTTTTAATCATTGACAGTAAAAATTATGTCAGTAGCCAGTACCGTTTCATTAGTATTCAAAAACAAAGAGAAGAGGAATGTTTTTAGTGAGTATAATTATTATTTTCATCAATTTAACAAGTTAGAAAAATTATATCATTTGATGTGTGTGTGTGTGTATATGAGATGCAAAAATAAATTCCAAAAGTGAAAATTCTGACACTTGAAGGACATATAAAAAGATGGTTCACTTTAATATAACACCACAGTAAAGAAATCTTGTCTTTTGCAATCAATATTTTCCTTCTGCCTTTCATCATGTAAAATTAAAAACCAATTGATAGGCAACATGTGATCTGCATTTGTCACTAACAGTCATCTTTTCAGTTAATGCATTTTGTTTTAGATATTTGTCTACAATTTGGTGATATATAAAAATTGCAAAAAGTTTAATATAGTCAAACAACATTGATCACTTATTCCATTCTTTAAAGATTCTGTGTATAGCACATAATCTTCAATATCTAGCATTTAACATTCACTTTTTTATAATTTAAGTAGGTTCAATTGTTGTTACAAAATATAAGTGTTAAAATATTGAAATGAATGATAATTCTAGAGACTGTCTTCTTATTGTGGCTTCTGATCAATGGAAGACCAAATTAAGACTAACAGGAGAAAGGTAAGGAAACAGAATTTATTTGGACAGGGATGAGAAACAATTTTTATAGAGAGGGACATGGATACATCCATCTAGTGTTAAACTTGAAAACTACTTATCTTCTGTTTGCCCCAGTATCATTTCTTGTTTTCAAAATAATGAGTCTCTCTTGGTTGATGAAAAAAAAAATTGAGAGAGATTTTTCTGTACTATGTGTTTGCTTTGTTGTTCCCACAGTGGTAAGAAATGGGTTATGCCCACATGTTCACAATGTGTTTTTGTGCTCAATATTAATTGTCTGAAAGAACCATTTCTACCCTCCATCAGCATGGCTGATGCTAACCTATAGGAGAATGACTCATCATGCTTTCTCAGGCTAACATTTTTTACCTAAATGAAGTGGAAAGACTATATTGAATCAATTGCTAGATCTGCTGCTAGGAACATTGTTTCACAGTCATGCTAGATAATCTTTCTTGCTTGAATCTCTCTTACAAGTTTACCATTTGTTCTTGCTTTGAATACTACTGCCACATATGGTCTGGTGCTGCTGCTATATATTTAGAGATTCTTGATAAAATACAAAGAAGAATCTGCAATGTCAATGGTTCTGACCTAGCATCTCAGCTTCAGTCATTTTCCATTGATATAATATAGCTTCCTTGTGCCTTTTTTATAAATACTTTCATGGTAATTGTTCTGATGAACTTTATGCTATGGTAACTAGACTTTATGAATTTAAACACAGTACGAGATTAGTGGCAAGGTCTCATCATTTTACAGTTGAAATTGCTAGATGTAAATGTCTATGCTAACAGTTTCTTTTCTCACTTGTGGAACACTTTTCCAACTTCTTGCTTTCCAGCCAACTTTGACCATCAAAAATTTAAATGCAATTTCAATTGTTATATTCTGTTTATGAATTCTTGTGCTTTTATTTTTCTTGCTCCTTAATAATGTTTTTCTTATATTCTTTCACACTCAGTAACCCCCTTATGCTTTAGTGGCTTTATTATTTTGCTTGAGGTGAAATGATTAAAAAAAAATATCTGTCCATTATTCCAAGAACATCAATGCTACCAAAAACAAAAATATTGATCCAGCTAATGCAACAAAAATACTTTTGACAGTTAACATGTGTAATGTTTGAAAACTTTGAAGCACTATGGAACAAGTATGAAGTTGGTATTGATAGCAGATTATGCTTCAAAACATATTGCAGAAAAATTACAGAGGAAATGTTAAAATATTAAGTTGAGTCAACCAAATTTCCATTTTTTTATATATCAACTTTATTCTTCAAAAATAAAGTACAATTACATTTTATTCAACTGTAATGACTTGTTGCTACTTAAGCTGCTCTTTGATACTTTCTGAGTAAAATTCTGCAGATTTTGAGGTGAAATTTTTTTTTTTTTTTTTACAAATTCTTGAACCTGGTTTTAATTAGAGAAATCTGCCCCTATCAAAGTGTGACAATTGGTTGGGGCAAGATCTACTGAATATAGCAGGTGCGGTAAAACAGACCAAACAAGATCCTAAACTCTTCCCTGTGTTATTCTGGTTATATGCAGCCTTGCATTGTCATAGAGAACAATATTTTTCTTTTAATTCATTGTGTATGCTGCCACTGCTGTCAAAAATTAAGACATTAGTATAATCTAAATTTATTCTTAACTGCCATGTATAATTAGTAGTTAGGGTGTGATGGGTAAATTGCTGTCATTTTATATTTTTAATTTTGCACATGCATGTTATTTGCTTTTGATTTTGTCAACTGCACAGTATAGTAGGGTCAGTTGGGCACCATCTGTTCACTTTGCTAGAAATTTGGAAATGGCATGCTGTATTGATTGGCATTTGTATCAGGAGCTCCAATATGAACATTTCAGAGTGTTTGAGTGTCAATGTGAGGACAGTGCAGAGGATTTGAAAAGAGTTGAAGGAGTCTAATGGTGATTACAAAGGTGTTTGGAGTGAACACTAGTGATGGCAAGGTTATGCCTCCATTCATCAACCCACAGGTCCTCAGCCTACATCAAGTGCTTTGAGGAGGTAGTGCTACCCTGGGTCAAGAGAGTGGCTTCTGGAAGACCCTATGTCTGGCAACAGGACTCTGCACCATGCCACACAAGCAGAGGAACCCAGTCATGGCTGTCAGACAATTTCTGCAACCACATCACCCTTTACATCTGGTTATCTGCAATTCCCTTGATTATTATGTGTGGGGTGCAGTTGAGCGAGAGACCAACAAAACTCCTTGTAAACCAAAGATGAACTGAAGGCAAGGATTATGGCAACATCCACCAAAAACAAGGAGACCATCCAGAAGAATTGCAGGAGATTCAAAAGTCATCTGGAGACTGTGGTTGAAGCCAATGGTGATTTTATTTAAGTTTACTTTTTAGTATTTCAAAATATTTTTGTGTAATTTTGATAAATATATCTGTTAAAATGAGATGTCAGTGTTATTTTCATTTTTAAGTAAATTAGATAATAATTCATCCATCAAACTCTGCACACATTTTATATATATGTATATATATATAAAAAAGTTAATGGTCAGAGTTGAACTAGACAAGGAAACAGTAATATTAAAGAAGTGCTTGATACACGTATAAAAAGATAAAAATTTAACATGTAGAGGTTTTAAGTATAGAAAATTATATATATATATATATATATATATATATATATATATATATATTTGTGCATGTGATTACAATTATTCCTCAAAAATATGACTCAACCTAGTATTTGGCACATTGGGCACTGATACTTACACTGGTTCTTTGACATTTTGAAGAAGGTGGCTCATCTGAATTCCTCCGTTTTTTGGCTTCTGAAAATTCAATAAATACTTTAAAATAAATATAAGCACATAGAAGATCCATAGACATAATAGCAGGGAATAAACACAATAATTTGCAGCAATGATTTTAAATACTTTTTATTATGCTAATTAAAAAGAAGAAAAGATACTAACTATCAGGAATGACATGTCGGATTTCCACATCTTCAGCTGTACCAAGCGAGACAACTTTGCCAGAAGTATCTCGTACAGGGGTTAGGCATCGTTGTATAAAATGGGTTTGGACAAGACTGTGAAATTTATCACGGACTAAAGTTGAAGAAATTTTGGGATGACCTGTGATAAAAAAAAAAACAAACAAAATCTTATTTATGCAAAATAGTAAATTTCTTTTAATATCTTTACAACCATAACAAAATAAACAAAAGTTAGTTCATAATAATGCTATTTAATAAGATGGGTCCTACTTATATAGACATTGCTTCATCTTCTTCTTTAAATTAGTAGAAATATTTATTTTCCTTATTTGATATCCATGAAATAAAATAATCTTTACAGCAATAGATTTTTTTAAAATTAGAATATACTACTTGGAAGCCATGAAGCTCAAAATTGCATTGTTTTTTAATTGTCTTGCCACACAGAACTTACAATGCTATGCAATAGATATTTTAAAAACATGTAATTTTTATCACTTATTTATTGCAACCATTACATAATTTCTTTAAAAAAACATGAAGGAAACTTAGGAGGAAAGTATGGCTTTAAGCTCAACATTAATCCACTGAAAGTATCACTTTATCAGGTCACATTATTTGCAGTGAGTGACTCATAAAAATCACCTTTCATCATACTTGTTACCAGAATAGAAATAACAATTTGCTTCATAATAAGGATATTAATGAACAGAGGGAAAAAAAAATAAACTATGTGTGGGCTTAAGTGGCAAAAATACTAACCAGAGGCTTCAAGAGCATCATTAAGGCGTTCAGTGACTTTGTTGACAACATTATCCATTGTGTCCTGTCCTCGATGAAGAATCTCCTCTACCAATAACTCTGAAGCATCACCATACAATGTTTTGGCAGTATAAATGAAGTAAGGAAAACGTACACGACACAATATAATATCCACATTGATGTTATATTCAACATAGCCCTTTTTATTGGGACTAAATTTCACAATGTGCTGGTAAATAAGACAAGCCAAAATCTTTTTCACCTAGAAAAAAACAAAAAAGAAAAGAGATTATATATATATATATATATATATATATATATATATATATCCAGGTACCATGTCCGACACGGATTTTTTTCAAATTTGCTACACTTATAGATCTCCATGAAAGAAATTGAATGGCACCTGTTACACATCTCAAGGTCAAGGGGTTCCTGAGATATGACCTCTGACCTTTTTACAAAAATGTGAATAGTGACCAACTTTAAAAAATGATATCTCAGTTGTTTATGGACCTACAAAGTTCATTCAAATATCATTCTAAGTAATTGGATGGATCTACAATTTTATCTGGGGATTTTTTTTTTAGAGGTCAAATAAAAAAGTTGACCATGACCTTTGATCTGATATCTCAAAAAACGTTATTTTAATTTTTTTTAAATTTTGACAAAAGATTTGTCTATCTTATGACAGTATATATTCCAAATTTCATGATGGGCATTCCACTAGAACTGTTGTTACAAGCGTTTTATAGGACTGGGCAAAATTCAAAATGGCAGAATGTAGTATCAGCTACTTGATATAAAAGCATTTTGATATTTCACAATATGGTTAAGTTGTATAGCTTTGTAAAGCTATTTTAATGCTGATTAATATTCACATAAGGACCATGGTCATGAAATCAATAAAAAAAATTTTTCCTAACCACCTCATCAACCACCAAATTAAACTATATCTTTCAAAAGTAAATAATGATAGTGAACAGTGAAAAATAAATATTTTCTACAAAAGCCAACTGCACGTCAAATACAAATAATAATGAATAAGATGAATCTTCACTTAGATATATCATAAAGAAATATGTTACCCCAATGAACCTGAACAAAAAAAATGATATACTACAAAAACATTTAAAACCTAACCTTATCCTAAAAAGTAACATGCCTGTCAAAATTACAAAGAACAAACATTATTAACATTATTTACAAGTTCAAATGCCCCTTAAGGAACTGAATTCCTGATTAAACGAAACTCACAAATAATTACATTGGCCACACTACTACATACACACAACTCATATATCTGGTTAAAAAGTAAAAATAAAATCATCCTTGATAATGGCTAAAAGTATAGCCGAAAGTACTCAGAATTATAGAATATTTGGACAGTTTCTACACACTCTGTGTTCAGAAAAGAAAACACTTGTTTGAACATGAGAAAAATTAAATAAAATCTTAATCACAATTCCTTGTCTGTCATCTTTAATGAAACTTGTGTGTGTATATATATATATATATATATATATATATATATATATATATATATATATAGTTAGTTTTTGGATATTAAAACAAAAACGTTAAAAATTGCTACATGATTACAATCATTTTTGTATGTGTTTGCAAAACATTAATGAATACAACATGCTCACAGTGACCCTATAATGATGGCTAATTGAGCTATGATTATCAAACAGAAGGAAGTTTTTTTAAAGTAAACTTTACAATTAAAGATATTAATTTTTCTAAAGAAAAGCTAAGTTTAGCAGTCAATGAAAGCAGTTTACCTTTTCCAATAACTAACATCATAAACCAGTTCAGGTGGGAAGTTATTTAAAATCAATATACAATAGAACTTATTAGATATTCTAAGTCATTGTTCTTCATCTGTTTATAGAGGACCCATTGCCAGCTATTTGTTTATTATGATACCAAAAACAAACTTTTTAATATAATCCTACCTACAAAAATTTATATAGTGACTCTCTCTCTCTCAAAATGCTATGTCTCTTTAGGAGGTAGTTTATCATGGCTCTCCACATATTCCTTTTTCTTTATTATCTGTGAATTGCAATGGAATGGATTTGGAGTGATTATTTACTTGATGGATTTTGAATTCAGCTTCATCCTTCTAGACTAGCTGCCATCCAGGATTAGAAAGCTTGTCTACCCTATCATTTAACTCATAGCTAGGGGTGGGGATAAGGGATGTATTCATGCCTTTCTCAAGGTCATTAGTGTGAGAGTGAAAACACACAAGGACAGAATTTGAATTTGACAATTTCACTCTCTGTGTCGATAACTGTTACACTAAGCACACATACTGAATTGTCCTAGGTATGATGATAAACTACATGTGGCAGAAAGGCTTCTGACCAAGAGGTTTTAGGGAGCATGGAATGACCTCTTAATTGCTGTTGTTCCCAGGTCTAGCCTAACACAGGGTGGAAGCACCTGTTAGGGTCCCAGCTATGGGCAAAATAGTTAACCCCCAAACTAGGGCCATAACATTATGAAAGTATAAAAATAGATTTTTATAGTAAAAATACCAGCAATACATTTTTGGGAAAAAAAAATGATTACTAGCAATACATTCAACTTTTGACAAAAAACCTCTTTACAAAATATGTCAATGAAACCTGATCTACAAATTGATTTCTTACAAAGAATACATATTCTATTCATATGGATATATCCTGAAAATCTTGTTGGCATTAAATAACCCATTGATGTTGATATGCTGTAAAACAAAATAAACCAAACACATAGTGAAACAGATTTGATGACAATGCATTTTAAAATGTTAATATTCAATATTTTCTTTAACTTTATAAATAAAATAGATTGATATGCCTTTCCTATTGTAGTATGTGATTCACCCCAGATAATACCAACAATAGGCTTTGCACTCAATGTTATGCTAAAGCTTCAGAGAAATCAGGTGCATCAGCAGGTCAACCTGAAAGATGACCTGATAGCCACCAGGTGCAGATTTACACCTTACATAATGTCAGTGGCTGATCCAGCTGGATATATGATATGCACATGTGGGACAAACAGGATGGTAAATAGATGTATAAGCACCCACCCCAGAGAGATTCTCATATCGTTGAGAATGTAAAATTCACAGAGGAAACTCCAAAACCAAACATTGACTCAGTAACAGTAATTGATGAAGTCCAGAATTAAATAAATGATAATGTTACATATGTGCGATTAGGTCATGTGCTTTCAACATGATCAATAATTAAAAATTGCTTCAAGTGAATGAATCTTTCTCTTCATGAAACCTTATAGACTGGCACTGCAATATCAGTGTTTTAAAGCATACACAAAAAAAAAAAAAAAAAACACATCAGTTGAAGCCTTCCAACAATAAAAATGGGTAGCAAATGTAACTATAAAGGAAAATAATTATATAATCAAGATGTTAACTTTTCACATTATCTTAAAAGATCTGGAAGGAAAATCATATCAATGAAAGAGCAATAACAGTGGACTTGAGATTATTTGGTTGTTTTTTTTTATGGCTCATCAACCTTTTGGGGGTTATTTAAAGCTGAGACATATTTTGGATTTGTTTTCCACTGACATGAAGTGGAAAGATTATATTGAATTAACTGCTAGGAATGTTGGTTCACTGCAATTTTTCTTGCCAGAATCTATCTTACAGTAAGTCTACTATTTACCCCTACATTGAATATTGCTTCCACATCTGGTCTGGTGCATCTGCTATGTATTTAGAGATTCTTGATAAAATACAAAGAAGAATTTGCTATATTATCTGACCTAACATCTTAGTTTCAGTTACTTTCCCACTGCCATGTGGCTTCTTTGTGCATTTTCTATAAATATTTTCATGGTAATTGTTCTGATGAACTTTACTCAATGATACTTTCACTGACAGCAAGGCCTTATCATTTTACAGTTGAAATGGCTACATGTAATCGTACATTCTATGCTAACAGTTTCTTCTATTGCACTTCTCACTTGTGAAATTCTTTTCCATCTTCTTGCTTCCTAGTTAACTTTGATCTTCAAAAATTTAAATACAGTGGCAATCATTATCTTCTGTCTTCTTAATTTCTGTTCTTTTATTGTTCTCTCTCCTTAATAGTTTTTTCTTTTTCTCATATTCTTTTTCACTTAGTAACCACTTGCATCTTAGTGGCTTTATTACCTTTCTTGGAATTAAATGATAAGAAAATGAAGGAGGTCACTTACAGTACTCAGTATTCCCAAGCAGTTCCCCATCTAAGTACTTTCCAGGCTTGACAATGCTTAACTTCAGTGATCAAATGAGAACCAATGTTTTCAGTGTGATTTGATCATAAGCAGTGGACTTGGGAAGTTTAATTTCCTGGAAAACTGTTTTAAGAAAAATATTTTATAGTAAATTTCAAACCGGCATTCATCGGTCAAATGTTTCCTGTATGAAAATGGCTCTTCCTGTTGTTCGTAAAATTTGTCTGCTATCCCTCCTAATACCATTTGGTAAACAATTTACAAGAGCTCATTAAGTTGGTTATTTGCTCCTTTCCTATGTCTCTTCCTCTTTCAATATGTCCTGTGAATGTCAAATTCTCCAAGCTCTCTTTCCTTATTAGGTGCCCTAGAAAGTTCAATTTTTCTGATTCAAGTATAAATGCTATTTTTGGTTCCAATTTCCCTAAAACTTTCTTGTTACTCACATATTCAATCCATAGGATTCTCAGCATCCTTCTATAGAGCTACATTCCTGAAGTCTTAAATCTCTTCTTCATGTGCGAGATGATTGTCCAGCGTTCACTGCCATATAGGACAACCAATATTATATAACAGTTAAGTACTCTTTTCTTTGTTTCTAATAAATTTTCCCTTTTTTTTTTGTAATACTTTGCTTAGCTTTTGGAAGACATCTTTCACTATTCTCACATGTCAGTGTTACTTTTTTAGTCTTCTATTAAAACACTTCCAAGATATTTATATTTTCATACTTGCTTGATTTTGGTATCTCCAATTTGTAGTTTGCTGACAATCATACATTTTTTTCTTTTTACAATATGCTTAGTCCTTCATTCTAAATTTCCTTAACTAACTTCTGTAAGAGTTTCTTATCTGTGTTAGCATATTGTATGTTATTAAGACTGTGGCCTCCAATAATGAATCCTAGTAGGACTTCCAGTCTCATCTCACTGTATAGTTTGAATATTTTTGATGAGAAGACAAGTCTTTATCTTATACTCCTTTCTAGTTTGGAGTATTTACTGAATTCATTTTTAATATGTATGCAGGTAGTTTGCTCCAAATATAAGTCTTAGATTATTCTATCATCTTCCCCAAATAAATCAAACTTACCTAGCAGTTAAAACAGGTGTGTTATACCTTATCAGACACTTAAACATAGGTATACATTTTTCTACATTTGTATTTCTCTTTCTGATATGATTGTGAGCATAAAAATAGATTTTTATAGTAAAAATACCAGCAATACATTTTTGAAAAAAAAAAAAAATTATTACCAGCAATACATTCAACTTTTGACAAACAAGAACCTCTTTACAAAACATGTCAATGAAACCTGATCTACAAATTGATTTCTTACAAAGAATACATATTCTATTCATACGGGCATATCCTAAAAATCTTGTTGGCATTAAATAACCCATTGAGATTGATATGCCGTAAAACAAAATAAACCAAACACATACTGAAACAGACTGCATTCCTTGTCCCAGTGTCTTTAATGAAACCACAAGTCTTCTCTGGTTTCCAGTTTAATTCTGTTATCAGAATTTGGATGTTTTCCTATGTAGCACAGGCTGACAAATGAATGCAAGCTTATTTGTTCAAAATAAGCTTGCATTCATTTGTACCCGACTTCTTAGGCAGTGCTATACAAATGGATCTACTAAGGTCTTCCAGTATATCACCTCTGTTTTATATTTCATTAACTATTAATGCCAGAATCATCTAAGGCAGCCAGAATCTCTATTATAATCCTATCTAGTCCTGCTGCTTTGTTCCTGTTCAATTTGGCAAATGCTGATTTCACACTTTAATATTTTTGTGTATTGCAGGTTTTCTTCTTTCATCATAAAAGAGTTCTCCGGTGTGTTCATTACCATCTTTGAGGCATTTTTCTATATTATCAGCATTACCTCTTTTGAGTTTAGTCATCCAGTCAATGAGCACATATTTTGTCCAGTTATTTTTCTTATTCTTTTATGCATATTTGCCTTATCTGTGAGGTTCATTCTTTCTGCCCACTTTTTGTTGAGCTATTCCTTTTTTGCCTGCCTGTGTTTGTTTCTTTTTTTTTTTTTTTGCATAATGTACTATATTCTACACCATACCTTGGCATTGTTTGCTGTCTCCTTTTTATTATATCAAGGATTTCATTTGTCATTCGCTCCTTTTTTCTTGTCTAGTTTTCTTTGGAATTATCTTGTTTGCTGATGTCACTATAGCTTCACTTAATGTGTCCCATTTTGAATTTTCATTCTCATTTAGTTCATTGTATCTGCTTTTAACACCATTATAAACAATTTTCAATCTTGATTTAAAAATATAGTGTTCATTTTTTTTTTTATTTCAGTAAGATTATAGTACATATATCAAAACTGGATATTTTTATTTTTCAGCCTATTGCAACATTTCCTCATTAACATGATTCTTGATTATACCACGTTTTTTAGGATATATATCTGCTAAGAAATTGATCTCTCTAATTGGAAGTATGAGTAGCAACCTCCTAGTTAATTGGTACATTTACACTCACACAAAATTAAAAATCAAAATTATTTTAAAAATACTGGTGGTGTTGGAGAGTCAATGAATGAATTGTAGTAATCGTTATCCTTTTGATTAGTAAATATAGTTTTTAACCATATTACCTAAACCTGTACAAAACTTTATAAATTATAATTAAAATTTAAGATGAAAACAATTTTTGTAAAAATTCATTATTCATCGGAAAAAATGTTTTTCTTAAGACAATAGTGTCCATACACCTTAAAGCAATTAAAAGCTTTTCTAATAAATAATGTCTTAGTTTTTAAGTTAAAAATTTTAACTAATAAATAAATTAAATGATGTGTTAGTTTTATTGCATTTTTTTATTTTACAATTCAAAACAATTTTTTTCTGTAACTGGGTGTCCTGTTTGACCAAAAGAATTTCATGATTTAAAATTTAAATTCTCCGAAGACTTGTCCTTAACAAACGCTACAATATAAAGAATTTCTCGAAATATCATAAAATTAAATGTGTAGGTTAACAGATGTAAAAAGAAAACAATATTTTTACATTCAAAGATTTTCTAAAAAGAAACATTTAAAAAAATAATCTAATTCAATTGTGAATAAGTCCTGAAAATTTATCTGATTTTTGCACAAATTTCTAAATTAATGTTTTTCACTGCAAAAAGACGCTAAAATTTCCCATGGTCATCCGCTGAAGCAAGAAAAACAATTTGTAACTAAAATTTCGAAAGTTCTAAAAGAAAATTTACAAAAATAGTGCTTTGGTTTTTCTCTTAATAATAACAAAGATTTTGACGATAAAACTTTATTTTTATTATGTTTGGGACATTTTTCATCATGCTCATTTTTTTTTAGCGAATCTTTGAAAGGGGGTAGCTACTTTTTTACTGCCAAATGAATACATAATAAACAACAAATTACAAATATAACGTTTCCAGCTTTCGAAAACGAAATCTTGTGATTTTAAATTTAATCATTTTCATTCTTATTGGAGAAAATTACCGTAGTCACAATTTATTTTAATCAAAGTAACCAAGCTATTGACGTTGTTTGAATCCTAATGTAATTTTAAACAAAATAACGTGTTACGTACCTGTTCGTGTTTGAACCCACTTTGAAAAACAAGATATTTCAAAGGACAAGGGCCCACTTCCAGTAAGATGCTACATAGTTTCTCTGCAATTTCAGCAAAATTTTCCCGAATAATCAATTTGCATAAATTTACTTGGCTTTTCGACATTGTCACTTGTGAAAAGATACATGTGGTATAGAAAACGGTGTATAACGGTGAACAGTCAAAAACAGTACAAAACAAAAATATATTCCAGTAGTTTTTTTTTTTTCTTTAAAAGGTTATTGTTACTGGAGCAAAATCGCGATAAATTAATAAGTAAATTTGAAAAACTTTTCACTTTCAGTATTAAAGTATATTGGTTAACTTGCAGATTAGGACCAGCGCTCAGTTTGCATTAAAAATTTCCTGAATACTTACATTTTGATTTAGGTGTCATTGTAGTCAGTGTAAATGTACATCCTCCATTCGAAAATGACTTGATAAATTTGATGAAAATAAAATCTACTGTTTTGGAGTTATCGACAGTAAAAGTTTGGATTCATTCGCCTTCTTGTGGCAGTCATTACTGATGTTATTTGCATACATTTATTGTGGAATAGCTATGAGTGGGATATTCACTTGTCTTGATTATTGCACACACAATATAGTTTTCTTGCGCACTAATTGAGCCAAATTGAGACAAGTAAGATCAGTTAAAAAGCTGTTAATGTTCTTCTGCGCTTAGCTTTCTGCAGCAAAGGTATACAAACATCGTCAGTAATGACTGCCGCGGCGCAAATGAATCCAAACTTTTACTCACTGTCAATAACTCCAAAATGGTAGATTTTATCAAATTTATCAAGTCATTTTTGAATGAAGCATGTACATTTATTACACCTAAATGTAAAATTCGGGAAATTAATCTGCAAATTAACCGTTTAACAGCATATCTGTAGGGGTTTGAATGGCCTCAATTCAATCCGTACATTTTTTACTTTACATTTACAAATATGTAAGCAAACGAAAAGCAAACAAGAGAAAAAACACAAAAACTGTTTCTATAGCAACAATCTTCATTTTACTGTATGACATACAAAGCAATCAAGTGTGTGATTTTTACGAGTTGAAATTAATACCAGGGGTTATTTCCCTTTAACTGTTATTTGAATTAGTTAAAACTTTAAGGAAGATATATTTTTTCTCTGGACTCAGAAAGATTTCAGTTCATGAAATAACAGTAAATTTCAATGGAAAAAATGTTCTTAGATAAGATGTTATAAGCTAAAATTCAATGTAAGATGAGTTCAAATAAACTTGTTGATTGAGGGAAAATGTAAATCTTCACTTGAATATTGAAAAGTTGAATTAACTTGCCGTTTATTGTTGTTCTCCGAAGAAGAGAGTTGAATAAGTGAATGAATTCTGGAAAGCTGAGAATATGTTGAATCGTAACTTATAGCTCCAGAGGATTTTGAAGTAAATAAGTGTCTGTTGCTTGTAGTTTAAGGAGTGAATAAGATTAGTTAAGAGATGTGCAATATTCTTATGTATGTGTGTGCATGTGTGTGTGTACGTCATAATGTTTGCATAGCATTTTCTCTTAAAGAGGCAAATACAATTTTGTGCACTCCTCCACATTTACCTGTCACCCCCTATGGAAAGATGCACTCTTCCCCAAATAAACCTTTAACCAATCATCACTTTACTTTTCCAAACTCAATCCCTCATTGGTTAAAAGGACACTAAAATGTAGAAAAGTTGAGACAAACCTTTTTCCCGCGCAGGTCCCTGGAGCCTATTTGGAAACCCAAAAATCTATAAAAAGAATCGCTCAACTTAATTCAAGTTAGTCAGACACTGAGTTTCGAGAAATACCAGCAGACTCCACGTATGCCAACACACTGACTCAATAACCACTACCAACCTTTCAACAACTCAACACAACTCGCACAACTATTGCCACGTGAAGAAACTTAACTTACAATTTACTAAAAAGTAACATTATTACTACAAAACAGTAATTGTACATTCAATCAACTTTAACCTATCAGTTAAAGGCAAACAACTCTTCATAACTTAAATCAACACCAGCAGTTGTCACACACATACACACTATCACTTGAATTTACTCAAATGACAATTTTCCTTGCAGATATCAAACTATTTTAATTCCACAAACAAACTTAAACTATCAACCTTTACTCACTAAATTTCTGCATGTACAATCTTTGTACCCTTATCTCACTTGCCACATTTAACAAGCAACTTATCACTTTGTGTATGCCAAATATATAAATTCACGTTATTGTTGAAATCTCTAATGACGTTTTTTTTCAGTAATTTCTTGAAGTTGAATTGTCTATTTATTTTTGTTTGATTTATTTGTTGTGGATAAATGCATTACGATCATGCACATTCTTGGCCTTCACAAAAAATCACCTTCTGATACATCTTACTCAGTATAGATTTCACAATAATTTCTTCACTGCTACATCATGTGTGTGAGAGAAGGCAAAAGAGAAAGAATTGATGTTGCTTGTAATTATTTACTTTCTAATCACATGGTAGGCTCCAGGAACTGTTTTGATTTCTTTGGCAGTAAATTAATTTTAATTGTGTGAAAATAGTGGAAAACATATTAGGATTAATTGACCAATGAGGAGTCAGAGAAATATTAAGGCTCTGTGATCCACTTTTTGCATAAATTTTGTCAATTTCAGTACTGATACAAAGGAAATGTATTGGAGTTTTTTTTAACCCAATGAAATTAGTTAGATCACAAATAAAATATTTTAAAATTTAAGCAGGAAACTAAATATCAACTCCTTATGGGTCATTTAATGACAAAATTTAGTTTTCTTGGGGCTTTGAAGTAATAAAAATATGATATATGTTATTCTGCTTTCACAATTGAATACATGGTAGATGATACTTAGCTTTTGTGCATATACATGTTTGTGTGGATATAATTACTAGAGGTGGTGATATGTGTGATTTATGTTGTAGTTTTGTAGAAATTACATTTTGGAATACAGTTTGATTTCTTTCTGAAATTGTAGAATATTAGTATTTTCCATCTTACAAGATGCACTTTTTTTCCTAAAAAATACCCTGAAAAATATGTGTGTATCTTCCAAGATAAATGTAAGGCAACACCCAGGCTCAAGTAAGCTTGGACGGTCATCTAACTGGCTTGAATGATTTATTTGTATGTTGATTCATTTATTTGTATGTTGATTCATTATGCTATAATGTTAGCTATCTATATAATTTATATGATGTAATCTCAGTACTTAGCTGTTACAAGTATTTCCAAGATTATAAACCTTCCTGAAGCCAAGCCACAAGCTGTTTACTAGCAGTGGCAGGAGCCTTTCTGCTTTTGAATAGTATATCATTGCCATACAAACAAAATCGGACAAGCGATTAATGTAAACAATATATGGTGCCAGTATGTGAGGGACACATGGTGAATGTGTTGTTGTATGAGAATGACTTTTTTTTTTCTTAGAAATTTCTTTCCAATATTAGGGTGCATCTTTCAAGACGCAGTGTCTTATAAGATGGAAAATACAGTATATGGATTAATGTCCTAAAAGAGTTTTTTCATGTTGGTCGATGTTTTTAGCAGCACATCAACCCCCATGAGCTATTTAATACTGACATCTAAATATTTTGAACACAATTTTATGGCTCTAACTAGATATTTTTTTGTATGCTTTCAACTACAGATGAAATGTATTGTTGGTCATTTTGCTATAAAATGTATTGTTGGTAATTTTACTATAAAATATATTGCTGGTAACATCACTATAAACATGTAGCAGCCCACTGAGGGGTTACCACTTAAATAAAATATAAAAATATAATTGAAGATATTGACACCAAAAACTGAGTTACAACAAAGGCAGAGTTCTTAATCAAAAGGCCAAAATTTTATTATTGGCAAACAACCAACAACACTTTACAATATGTACAATTGTTGATTTGTAAGAAATAAAAGGAGTTACCACAAGGACTACTGACCTTCCAATAGTAGCACTCACTACTGGATTGACTTGTGATGACCTTGTAGTGGACCCCTCGTGCACCCCCGTATCACAAAAGGGTGATGAGGTCACAAGAGGCCCGCTAACATTTTCGATGACATTAAATCTGACAAGGTGAAACAACATAGAGAACAGAACAAGGATATATAAGATATAAGCTAATTTATTCTAGGAAAGTAATAAAGAAATAAAGGTGGTTGGAACGGTAGAGATGCAGATGTTCCGGTGCAGGCATTGATGGTCGAGGTTGGTTGTTACAGCTGTCGTTACAGGTGATCACTGCTGGTCATGCAGGTGGTCGCTGCTGGTCGTGCAAGTGGTCGCTGCTGAGATGACCACTGTAGTTGTTGCAGGTGTTTGTTGCAGTTGAAATTGATGTTGGTCGTTGCCAGGATGATCGCTGTTGGTTGTTGCAGTTGATGTTGGTCGTGGCTGGGATGCCAACTTGATGTGTTGGGAAGGAAAGAGGAGCTGGCATTGTTCGGGCATGTCAAAGGTCCAGTGCAGGCATTGCGTGTTTGCCGGTCGAGTCTGATATTAGTAACCTCCCGTAATAATTAAAAACATAGTGTAGAAGAAAGGTTATGGACAACGTGCAGGCAGCCAGTAGGGACGGAATGCCGAGGGTCGAACAGGGCCAAGGAGCCAGGAGTAGTAGGCAAAGGAGAGAGAGAGAAGGAAAGTTTCCAACTATCGCCAAGTTAACAGACAAAAAAAATGGGAGCATAACTTAATATGCAGCCCGGGTCGACGTCCTGGCCACAAAGGCCAGGAGCCTGCGTATCCGACCGTTTCAGTCACCTACCCTAAATTTAGCGAGAAGTCACTGTCTTGTGGTAAGGGAGACTAGCAAGAGAATTGGGTAAGCTAACACAATAAAGTCTATATAAAAAATAAGTCGAGATTAGCTAAAAGGAAACTAAGGCCTAAAAATGTCTAGAAGTATATTACAACTAGGTTTGTAATATAACTAAACTGAAAAGGTAACTTGCTAATCTCTACCTCGGGTTAACAGCGTGTAGGGAGCACAACCAAGAAGTCATGGTCGAAATGACCTGTTCTCTTTTGGTTTAAGGAGCCTAGGAGGAGGTAACTTCGACAACCTTGTGCATAACTGTTACCTTTATTCTTATTGTA